GTCGGCTGCAGGATAGCTAGTTATCGGATGGTGAACGCACTTCGGAACAACAACAATTATGTCACGTATCTACATCTGCATCTAACGTTACATCTATTTAATACTGGGCCAAACCCTACATCTCGCCCAGGGTCTTACATACAGACGAGACATAGATGCGGCCGGTGGGGAGGGGGGAGGGTGCTCACATACGTACACTCCTTGCTCGCACGTAAATACTAGTATATGCGAAAATATTAGCCCAAAAGAAAAATACAGCAGTAGTTTAGAGCTTAAAATACCAACAGCACCGAGAAAAACTAAAGATATATCGATAACTTACCGACAACGGTGCGATCTGTCAGAACGACTCGTCCGTTTATGACAGAAAACCCAGTGGCGCGAAAATTCACAGTTGACGGCTTGTTTGCACCCATTGACCTTTGACCTAAAATGGCGGCGCGAAACCGGAAATACGTGTATGACCCCAGTTTTTGAGTCAAAAGAATTTGACGTCGCACGTTGTTGTTCGTGTGTTTTCACAAAGAAGGTCTAAAGTAGGTCAAATATTTCTAATATTTCAAAACATATGTTCAAAACTGTAATGAATCGCGTATGAATGCCATTCTTGTGTAATTGACCATGGTGTGCCACATATGTTATGGTTCAGTGAATTAGCCACTGAAACAGAAAATGCAGTAAAATATTGTACCATGACAGGTTGAGAGTCACCAGGCTCTGGCAGATTCTTGCAAATGCATATCAATTTATTGTGCTTCTCAAAAACTTTTATAAGTGTGTATTTGTACATGCATGTTATGTATGTACTGTATATTGATCAGATGCCAATGCCATGTGCCTTGTTTTGAAACAGATTATAATTTAGCACATCTCAATCAAGCTGTGGGGATTCTACTCTAGTCACTAGTCAGGGTAAATTTTCTTTAAGGCATAAGGTCCATATTATGTATTATATATTAGACAACAAGTACCAATTTAAGCTTACTAGAGTCAACAACCTATCACAGTATCAGACACATTTAAGTAAGGATAAATTATACAAAATCATGCCCTCTTTGTTGTTTTTCCAGATTGTTGCAGACTGCACAGCTGAAGTGAGATGGCGGTGAACCTGAGACATCAAGTCAGACAACTGTACAAAAACGTAAGGACAGCTGACAAGCATGGAACATTTCCTACAGGCCATTGACTGTTACCACCTATAAAAGAAATAATGGCAGTGGTTTCTGAACAGTTTTTAGTGTTAACCATGCTTCCTAAATTCTGAGTGGCTCAAACACACCAGCGTGGCCTGTCCTTGGTGCTGAAGTACACATAACAACATACAGTATTCTCCTCAATAATTTCTCAGGGTAAAACTATGTGGTGCAGTCTTACTAGATAACATACTGGCTATTAATAGGATAAATATTGGCTATCATATTTGTCTGGCGCAGGTAATTTTAAATGTTACCTGCACCAGTGCAGGTATGCAGAAAAATTGTTTCAAGCTAGCCATGAGGAGGTATAACTGCTTTTTGTGTCTTTAATAATGTTTGTGTATACATATAGTACCTACTTTTGCAAGCATAACTGAAGTTTAAAACTGTTACCCCTTGTTGGACCCTTATACATATGTGTGTCTTCTCCCCCCCCCCCCCCACCACCCTTATACACATGTGTGTCTTCTTTCCTCCCCTCACCAGCTGATGTTCCTTGGTAGAGAGTACCCCAAGGGCCAGGACTACTTCAGACAGAGATGCAAGGCTGCTTTCATCAAACACAAGGACGAGACTGACCCAGAGGTCATCAAGATGCTCATAGCCAGAGGAGACTACGTCATCAAAGAGCTCGAGGCACTGTACATGCTTAGGAAATACAGGACCCTGAAAAAGAGATACTATCCCTCATAGGTATATAGAGATGGATCAGATAATGGTAGCAATGAAAGTGTTGTTCTTCATTTAGCCGTAAGAGTATAAAAATGCAACATGTATATACTTCTTTGAGGGATTTGTATTTCATGGATCCAAAATGATGAATGAACAGTAGAAATTGGTAATGATAAAGTAAAGCTGCTAAAGTCACCACTTCCTTCTGAATGCAGTGGAGTGACTCAAGTTTCAACTTCAATTACAGTGATTATTCTTAAGTTGATGATAACATTAGCAGTTTTTGTGCATTTCTGTCATCCTGAAAAAATGCATTTTCTCACCATTAGGTTTGAGAACAAACTACCGGTATACATTGATATGGCCTTACACTTAGAAAGTCAGAGTGTATTACATGAAGATGTATGTAATACAAGTAGAATGAATCAGGACTGAAACGTGGAAAAGTGCATGGTACTGTTCTGGTACTGTGGAAGGCTACAGAAAAGTTTCGGAAAATATGGTTTAGGTGCATGCATGGCAATCAAAGATTGTGCTATGCAGTATGGTGACATTAAAATGTAAGAGGAAAAGCAGTCATCCTCAACTTGATATTATTGTATGCTTCATGTGTTGTCTCTTCAGCTGAACTTGGGAATTTCACAGTTAAACTGTATGTGTTCAGATGGACAACTTTATTGGTTAGGTTCAGCTATGCAGGCATTGAAATATGTACAGTTCAATCCAGTTATAGAAGAAAAGTTCATGATTGCATTGCAGGGAGTAAAGTAGTAAACGAAATGTTGATGATAGTAGAAACAACAAGTGCCCCTAGGCTAGTGTCTGCTAAATATAATGTCAAAGTAAATGACACTTTTCATCATATGGACATAGAGTTTTTGTTTACTGGTATGGAAGAATAGTTAAAACTGGCTCCAAGAATGCAAGAATGTTCAGTAGCTTGAGTATGGTCAGTCATTCTGCATGTCCATTGTTATTTGTTGCTACAGTACATAGAGCCTAATGGCATATTATGTCAATCAGTGTGTTGCACCATGCATGGGTGGTATTACCCATGTGAATTAGACTGTAACAAAAGTTTACATAAAACTGAACTAAGCTGGGGTTCAGGTAAATGTTGTGGTGCCAACTGTATGTTGTACTTGAAAAGGAACAATAAAACTATTGAGAGTTGTTCTGAACCTGGAGAGAGAGGATGTGTTCAAACAGTATGATAACATGGAACAGCTAGTGGATTGGTACACATACAAGCAACGGTGTAAACTACATATTTGCTTTTTTTACATGTATCATTAAAAACACTTTTAGTATAGGACTTATCTGCCATTGCCACTCCTTCCTCATCTACAACAGATTCCCTGTATATTAAGTTATTTTCCCATTAAAATCCTTGTCATCTTTTACATCAAGATGTATAGCAACTATTGCCTTAAACATTTCTTTCGAATTCATCTAAATTCCTAACTACAGGTCGTCATCGCTGGTGTCCATGTCCACCTCCGGCGTCTCCATGTCCGTGGCGTAGTCGAACTCTGCCACGGCGATGCCCGAGGCCTTCCACTTCTTGGGGCGGCGCGCGGGCAGACCCTGCTTCCTCAGGATGAAGTTCTTGATACTCAGACAGGGCAGGACCATTCCCTTGTGCAGCATCAACATGCCCCAGTCCTGCTCACACCTAAGGGGGAAAGGGTCCTCACATTTGTAACACCGTTTGTTAGAGGATCTTCATTTAATAATGGACAACTTGTTAACGTTGGTTGATCTTTCTGTTCTGTTGACTCGTCTCTGAAATTGAGAATAGCTGCTGCCCAGGCAAAGCGAAGTGCTCACCAACAACGGACTGAATTGTACCAATTTAGACTTGCCATATACTCTGTAGAGTGGTTGTCAATACTCATCTCTTCAATATAAAATCTGTATCTCAGCCTGCAGTTGTCAACGAATTAACTTGCGAAATCTCCGAGAAGGCAGGTTAAATGTGATAGAAGAATCATAATATACAGCAATGGCTTGAACGCACCGCCTGCATTTGACGGTGCCGGCGCTGCTCCAGTCCGGGAACTGCAGCCGCGGTTCGTCATCCTCATCCGCCTGGTCCGCCTTTCCGACAGTCCTCAGGAACTCTGGGTCTGGGTGTACGTGGTGGGCCCCCTGTAGGAGTGACAGTCCAAACCATCGTCAATAAGGACGATCTTTACTCGACTATTTACAGCATCGACAATCCTTCTTCAGACAAGAGGAATAGCTGTCATCAAATTCTAGGTAAGTGTAACCAGAGAAACAGCAGAATACTTTTAGGTTACTTTTAAAAATCGTAAGAACAAACCTCAAGCTAGATTATACAGGCAAGATCAAATCAAGCAAGGCAGAGAATGTGATCATAGAGCTTCCCATGGGAAGGTCCAGTGAAAAAAAGCAGTAATGTTAGTATCTACATACTACAGATACGCATTGAACAAAGGGCCAAAGATGACAGACATGCGTCACTAAGCTTAGCACAAGCTGCAAAGCACCGTTCCTCCTACAGGCGCTCTGTAAGCCTCACCTCTATCAGCCTGAGCTCCGCGGCGTCGCACGCCTTCTGGTTACACTTCTTACAGTGAAGGAAAGTCCCTGATGCCGCGGCCTGCTTCCGTGCCTTGATGGCAGGGTTGTTCCGATGGTGCAGCTCGCTGCAGACGGCCCGCTGTCTCTTCTTAATCTAACAGGCAGAGACAAATGGATGACATATTATAGCTACTTCACCAATTTCTTTGAGGTGCAGAAGTCTGTTTTTCGGTAGAGGTGTTAATGTCATTATTCTTATTACACAGCAATGTTTGCATGCATATGCATCGCTACTATCTTGGGCCTCTGGGTTCACATTAAGAGTGACCCAGATTGGACCGCTCCTTATTTGTCTCCTCTTCAACCGAATGTCATAATGTGTTTTTTTTCGGATGATTAAATGTTCTTTAATTTTACTTGACGGGATGGTTCTCCATGAACCTATTAAATCTTGCATGCCTTGAAGGCATTTACTGAGGGTGCTTTGGCGGCTTACCATCGTATCAAGAGTGACACTTAGCGCAATGCTGTCGGCGTGCAAATGCCGGAGACAATCCATAGATCCAATGATATATAGGAAATATCTCTGAAAATTGCTTCACACCAACCTGTTGTTCATACTGGTCGGCTGGCATGTCCTGTATGTACTTGATGGCCCGGTGCATCATCTGTATCTTGTACATGTTGTTTTCCTCTCTCTGTCCTGCGCCTGACTTTCCACCAGCCACCAGGGTGTAGGTGGAGTCTTCAGCTCGGGCTCGGCCGCTCGCCTGTAGATTGGTAAGCGTGGATGTGATATAGCCGGGAACATAGGTTGAGTGGACAAAAGAGGATGTCGTTCGCTTCCACAACTTCACCGGGCAGTTATAAGATTGTACTTAAAGTTAAAGATGCTGTACCTCCTCGGAGATTTAACGTGCATTGTACAGGCCAACCTGAAGGTAGATAGACTCTAGGCTAACCACTGTCACTGACGTTATCAGAGAGAGGCAAGGTAAACTGATTAAAATCTATGTGTTATATATAATTTTTTTAATTACAACAAAACACAAATAAATACCCAATGCTAGAAAGGACATAGGTTTAAGTTCCGACATGTCTCGCGCAATGTGTATGTGAAAGACGAACCTGCATCATTGCTATTTCATTGGTGACCAGTCCATAGCGGATGACGAAGTTACACTCCTTGATGTCCAGACCCTCCTCAGCCACAGTCGTGGCAATGAGCAGATTCAGCTCGCCTTCACGGAACCGTCTGATCACCTCTCGCTGTTTGATCTGGTCGGGCAAACTAAAACTCATGTTACCTGCCATTCCTTCCTTCCTTCCTTCCTTCCTTCCTTCCTTCCTTCCTTCCTTCCTTCCTCCCCTCCTTCAATCGCATATTCGCTCTCTCACTCACTCACTCACCCACTCACTCACTCACTCACTCACTCACTCACTCACTCACTCACTCACTCACTCACTCATTCGTTCCCAACTACTAATACGACTAAATTCCTACTCTAATGAGTTGAAGCTAATACAAAGTTTTAGAAGACTTTGTTATACATAATCTAACTCAATGTGCAAAATACCAAAGAGACGGTCTCACCGCAGTCATGTGGTTGTTCTTGCTGACGGAGCCGGTGCCTGTTCCCGTCAGTTGATCGGCTCTCAGCAAGTCGTTCAGCTCGGGCGTGTTCCGTATCCAGTCAAGCAGGTACCGCGTGGACTGTCGGGTCTTCGTGTAGAGGATCCCCCTGGCGCCCTCCTTCGCCTCGCACTCCTGCTTCAGCTTATTCTTCAGCGCCTCAAGGTTCGGATTCTCGTACTGTGACATCTTGGTGAGTTTCTCAAGGCGTAAGACGTTGCCTGAAAGGCGACCCGGAACAAATAAAACTTAACAAGTGTTTTCTAACAATAGATACATGGATCGACGTGGACAATTAAGTATGGCTAGTGGATGCTACATCAACATACTACCTACCGGAAAAGATCTGGGTCAGCCCTTCGTCCGTGTCGTCAAATACGTCCCGACGGTCATTCTCTTTGACGTAAAATTCCTTCAAGTACTGAAAGGCGTCGGACATGCGCAGTGTGTCGTTCATGACCAAGGCGTCGTTGTACTTCCTCAGGTGTTCTGCGCAGGTCTGGACACGTCGGTTGCTCTTCATGCCGCCTGTTACGGGAATAAAAACGTTGTTCTGTGTTTTCACTGTTTAAAGTGTAAGTTTTTATTTATTTCCATGTCATCTAATCAAATCTGATCTACATGGCGTGCGTAGTCCAGTGCCAGTGGTTCGAGCGACTCTGTCTAGACGTCTCTGGACCAATAGGTTGGGAGTTCGCATCCCAGCTTTTGCCGCTCACCCGGCATGCACGTTCACCCTACTCAAAAGGGTTGCAATCCCGAGGATGGGACGTCAAAGTGTCCACATTGTACTTGCATGCATAGCATGGAGTCTGCCTTCACTGTCACGAACAGTGGACGAATAGCTCATTGGTGAGGAACAAAAGTGGATCGTATAGTTTCTATTTTGTCCGAGAGATCACGAGTAGTTTCAACAAACTCTAAACAGAGAGACACTGACCCTCCTTCTCCATCTCCACCACCCACTGCTCGTACATCTGCGTGCCGAAGTCTGCGGGAGGCCGCCGCTCCCCTTCCGCGTCTATCAGCCCGTGGATCTGCTGCATCATCCTCTTCAGCTCGTCTCCGAACGGGTCCTGAAGCCGCTCGTTGGTGATCTCGCACTTCCGTTTGGGCTGTCCAACGACTTTCTTCAGTTCCTCCTCGTGTTTCTCTGCTGTCTTTAGCTTGGAGGCGTCCAGATTGGCAAGAATCTGTAAAACACAACATAACAGCAATAAGTCAGAGGCTCTGCAAATCAAAGTTCTTTATTCAAATCCACTCGTTGAACGTACAAGAGCCGACATTTTGATGGCCGTCTTGTTAAACAAGTGGTAACCGTTGTTAATAAAGAGTTTTGCTATTCAACCATTCTCCAACCTAATGAAATATTTACGGAAATAAGCCAGAGGTTACGTTACATACCGTGGAATGCCTTTCATCATCTAATGAGCGCATCAGCAGCAGCTCATATTGACTCGTCAGGAATCTGTCCGACGTACCTGCAGGATGTGTGAGACGGCCTTCTCGTGAGTCCTGGCCCCTCCCACCCCGGGAGACGCCGTCAGACCGACGATCTGAGGCCGGGGTCGGCCTGGCTGGTCAAACTTCTGCAGCATGAAGCGGCCCATGATCTTGTTGTACACGTTCTCCTTCTGGGTGTGGTGACATTCGTCGAAGATCATCAGGGAGAAATCTGTTTAGGACAAGAGGACCTTCAGGTTACTGGATGAAAACATAAATATGACAACAAAACAAAAACAAAAACAAGACTTCCCTTGCAATAGAAGTCATGACATTTATTGCCTTATGAGCTCTCTGGTCTGTCGGCTGGTTGTGGAGGTCTATAACTTGGACTGTGAACGTGAAGGTGATCTCGAAGCAGTTAACCTCACAGAAGAGCTACTCTTCCACTAGTTGTGAAAGAGGAGACAGATGTTTTGTACAGTTTTACAGGTTCTTTGTACGAGGGAATTGCCAAAGCTCTTTTCAACAAGTAACATGGGCAGTGGACCCGTCCTAACGACTTCCAAACTTTCCAGCAGCAAAGCTAAACTGCATACGCTACTGCACGTTTAGCTACAGCCACTATTTTCCCGGCCCCGCGCATAGTTATGACTTATAGTGCGCACCTGACAGCTCCACCCTCTCCTGGTCGGTCCTACTAAGGTGGTTCTCCAGGATCTGTGCCGTCAGGATGATGATGTCCTTCTGCTCTGCCAGCTGCTTGAAGCTGATGTGCTCCTCCTCGGCAGACGAGTAGTTCTCCCCGCTGATCGTCCCCAGTCTGCCGTGGAAGGACTTCGGCAGCAGCGGCTTGAACTGCTTCTGGAAATGCTGCTCTACCAAATGGACCTGTGATAAAATTTCCACTCTTCGTTAATCATTTGTTGCGAGGGTAATGCGAGAAATTCAGGACAGCATCGATATACTAGTTATCTTTTTTCCTGTTTTTAACGTATTCTTCAAGATGCTATGTAAATTGCAACCCGTGTTTAGGAATTTATAATGTAAGAAACGGATAACACCAAAATACGACTGTGAGACAGTGTGACCTAGGAGTATTACCAAACTGTTCCCTGCTAACTCTTTGCTAACATCGTGCCCTGCGTCTTTTCAGCCTCTAGATCTATTCCGCCTGGCGTGGTTGTCGATTGAATTTATAGGTTGACTTACAATAGTCGATTTCAAATGTGATATCACGCTTGCTAATTCCTCTCACCTTGTTGACCATGACCAGCACTTTTCCTTTCGGGTTTTTCTCCAGGTGGTCCTTACAGATGTAGACCGCCACGCGGGTCTTCCCGCTGTTGGTCGGCGCGCAGATCACGATGTTTCTCCCCTGCAGGGCGTCTTCAGCCAGCTCAAGCTGATAGTCGCGCATCGGGATGCTTCTTTCGGGCCCTTCAAGAAATTCTGCATTTGTTTGAAAAATAACGTTGTACTAATCAAAGACATTGATACAAGCATTTCAGAAATACACATATGTGATGAGAAGTGCCATTTTGTAAGCTGTTAATAGGGTTACTAGTATATCTTAAGGAGAACTCACCCATCACCAATGATCCTTGACCTCGAGCCTGGAAATCCCCTGTGTCTTCGTCTTCGTAACCTTCGTCCAAGTTGGGGTCATCCAACATGGCGGCCTTCATTGCCGACGCGTCTGCGGCCTGGACTTCCTCTGGAGAAGTAGATTCAGCAGTTGTATGTTTGTACAATTATACCATGCTGTATGTACTTAACTAGTATCATTGGTGTATCCAAGAACGGTTGTTGACTAGTTCTCTGTATGATGGCGCTCTCTTGATTCGACATTTTTGTTTTCGGTACGTTTCAAAATAGACTGCATTGAGAGGAAATACTACAACGATAGATCAATCAATTTCTCCATAAAACCTTTACATCGCTGTACCATGCGATCGTTGTTATTTGTTTTTATCTATTTCTTTCTTTATTTGCCTGGTTAAACCCCAAATTTATTCAGGCACGCCTACCATTTGCAGGTGAAATGGCCAGTCCTTGGAACAAGGTGCTCAGCCGGTCCTCGTCTATGGGGTCTACAGAAAGGGGGTTAAAGTGATGGTCAGGGACGGGAACTATTGTACCGAACGAGTGATATGTAATACAAGAGGGTACAGTGCAGTTTGGAAATGTCTATACAGATGAAAGGTTTGATCAGGTTTGACGTATAATAACTCAAAATACATGTAACTCAAGAACTACACGTATTCAGAACCATGCAACCTGCCTTTTTGGATACGAAGACTATCTAGAACGTGCTTGCTTGGTCCTATAACCCTAACCAATTCAGGTATAGAGCTAGATAGACACGGGCCAGATACAAAAATTAAAGCCCTTCTCACCCTGGTCTGTCCCCCGTCTGCCTAGGAGTAGTTCCAGTGACTGCTCATCTCTGGCACTCCCCAGGGCACGGACCAGCTCCTTGAACCACTGCTGAGGGTCACATCGGACTATCTTCTCCAGTAGGACATCCGCGGCTCGGGTGTTACCAGATGACTTCCACATCTGTTCGATCTGTTCTTTGTCTTCCTATTTAACCGCGAAAAAAATAAGAATTTGTTACATGCTATAATATTGAGCTCGCCACTCAGGCGTCGCCAAAAATCAGACAGGCGCACCTGTGCACGATGTGGCAACAACTGAGTCCAACTTGGGGATTCACCCTAAGTGCGTCATCAGGGGGAATGCCATCGATATCGTAACGTCAGAAAATGCTGCTACAAACCACATAAAGCCATGGTATGGAAAATATATGCCTACACGTAGGTGAGTGAGTATTGGCATTGATCTGCGATTGTTAAACGTAGTTTCAGCCTCTATTTTTATAGCATCTACACACGCACATGTCTGTATCAGACAGCCGGGGTGCCTACGACGCTTACTAAATCACAGAAAATCATTGAAAATAGCTGTTGCTGTAAACGCACCTGCGGTAAACACGGCAGATGCGGTAACAGGTCCCGTACCATCATGTTCTCTGTCAGACCTGGTGCCAGGATCCTCAGCAGCTCGCGGTACGGGGAGGAGTCGGCAGGGGGCGCTGTTTGCGTGGGACACAGGTCCTCCGCTACGTGCTTTGAGCCGGTTTGTCTCAAAGCTTCTACAAACTCAGGGAACCAGCCTGTAGGAAGAAATTTTGTTTTACAACACTACATTCGTCAGCAAATGCTAGGATTTGAATCTCTGTCTTTTACACAACTCAGATGTCTATTTTAACAACAGCCGCTACCTACTAGTACCTTTGTTGTCCTGCTTCAGTAGTTTATCCAGCAGCAGCTCTGCAGCAGCCTGCGTTCCTGTAGTCTCCTCCTTTCTCTTCACTTCCTCCTGGTCCTTTCCCTGCAGACTCGTGGTGCAGCAGCGCGCCACGGCGGCCGGGCGGATGTATTGCACCAACTTTTCCCAAAAGACTCGAAGGAGCTCCTTCTCCGGTTGGGCTGGTGTTTCGGACTCAGTTGTTGGCATCTTTCCGCCCTCTAACTGATTTGCTGTATGATATGCAACCAGGAGATACGTTAGCTATTCATGGATACACGTATCAACAGTAATATTCAAACTATTGACTGAGCACCTACATTGAGCAAGGCCACTGCACCCAAAATAGCTACATGATCTTTCAGCTCTGTGACATATATACTTAACATACTTTAAAATATAAGTTCACTTGGAAAACAAAAAGCTGATGAACAAATAAGCTCGACCCACCGGCGGTTTTTAAATCGGACGACCTATCAACAGATACAGCCGTAGCTAGTTCGTCAGCTGTCACACTAGAAGTGCTGGCTTGACATCGATGCAGTACTAGTGCGCAATGGTTTGTGAACAGACCCACTTTATCTCAGGCACACGGTAAACAGCAGAAGAAGCGTCGATGATGTCTTCACTGCTCCACGTAGACTTAAGTTAGTGACACAATAACTTCACTGCTCCACGTAGACTAAAACACGTATACACAAGAGACGGCACATTTATAGTGTTCCTGAAATGGACTTTGCGAAATCCCCTCCTGTGACAACGAAACTGTTTCTATACGTCACGTCACAGTACTGCACAACAATAGAAAGTGTGAAACCCCCGGAAAGTTGGCATGACAAAATAGTATTGATATGAAACCAAAGGTTCGTTCTACAGGACGCCTGAGATTGAACGTTTAGCTGCTGCTTTATTCTGATTCTTCTCTTTTATAAGATAATTATGTGTGAAAAGCTAACAGTTAGGCAGTATTGTTTTGCGTGCAATCTTCATCCCAACATCGCAATGTCTAGTACTTCCGAGTAGCAGATTTTCGCGCTTATGGATCTAAAATATAGCAAACCGAATCTGATGGATATTGTGCTACACAGTCTTATAATTAAGTCACAGAATTAAGGTGTTTCAACCCTGCGCTAGTATTCTACATGATTTGACGTGCTATATCAAATGTTTCATGTTTTTGCGTTAGGACGGTACGGGATCAATATAATAACGTTGCACCGTATTGTCCAGAGGTCGCGGCAGGGGATGCCCCCAATGGGGATTCCCCGGCAGGTGTTTCACTTCTCGTTTTCGTCAGTTTCGATGACGCTATATGATTTTGTTTTCGACGCTTTGGACTTTAATGTCTTTATGCTTACTGTATGTTTGTTTTACAGTATGTATCAATGCCTTATCTTGTAACATACTGCCCCCTCCCCCGGAAAACATCTATTGTAGGCTGAATGGGGCCACCCAGCCGTACTGAGATTAAATAAATAAATGCTGAAAGCCTTATTAACAACAATGTGAGAGGAAAAATAACGACCTGTTTTCTAACGTTGCATGGTTTTTATTTTGCTGTGAACATTCTGTTGTCTATGACACGATGGTATAAAGTACTGCTCATAGGCAGCAGTTCAGTTCAGTTTTGAATACATCGGCGTCGAACATCAAGGCAATTCTGTTTATAACCATTCAATCTCTTTTAATGCAAACCACAAAACAGTTACATAGGAACAATGTAGTACAATTTCAAAGCACTAATCGGAAAGTGAGGTTTGTTTACATTGTCCTTTAATCTGTGCAACTTTATATATGGTCTTGTGCAGGTCAATGGACCTGCAGGTTTCATACAGTCACTAGGAGGCGCTACACTATGATTTCACGTTTTGATAAAAGTCAAAGCAAGGAGTGTGGGAGCGGACGTAAGCTAACCAGGATGGTACCCAGGCTATAATTATTGTTTCTTTGAATTAATTATAAAAAAATCACTGCGGGGACGTTTACGGGCCGAGTTCGGGTTGTTCCCGCGCGGCGGCCAGGTAGGCCGGCCCCGGCCCCCAGCGTTGTGGACGCACGTAAGCGAACGACCCGTCACTCTTAAGCGGCCTGTTGCGAGCCACGAAAGACGCCTGCCACTTCTTCAGCCGTGCCCTGAGGCTTGGGCTCAAGGAGGATGTGTCACTGTTACGAAAAAAAAACGATTAAAAAAAATTAAAGATTAAGTAACTGGGAGAGACAGATCAAACACAACGTGCAGTACATACTGGCTAGCTTAAAAACAGTGCAAAAAGAAAGCCCGACAAAAAGCCTAAAAAACACGCCAAAAAATAAGCCAAAACCAAACCTCTGCTTGGAGAGTAGCAGTACATAGATATCATAAAATGCACATACAGATACAAAAATCGCTCCCAGGTGCGACATCACAAATTTTATATAGTCACCAGCAAAATGGTCATTTGAATTAGCAAAGATGACTGGTAATTTACATTTACTAAGAACCACTGTTACTTTGTGTCAAGAATGAATTGAAGCCATTCCTTCTTTTTCAAAATCTTTTCCTGAAATAGGCTGTCACTACGGACTCCAGGAAGAATACTATGAAATTCACACTAATGGAGATCCTGAACAAGCAAGCAAGCAAACAAACAAACAAACAAAAAAAAAGAGCTCGTATAGCGGCCAAGCTAACAACACAGGGAGAGCTTTACCTGGTAGCCAACTTGTGCTTCCTGCAGCTGCTTATAAACCACTGGCGGCGAACAGGCGGGTTCTTCCGTGCGGAGCCCGCAGCAGCCGGGCGAGGCAGCGTCGTGTCAGGCCTGGTGGGTTGTTCTGATGTCGGGAAAGTTGAGCGGGTTGGGGTCGGAGTTTGGCGGGTTGAGGTCGAAGTTGGGCGGGTTGGGGTCGAAGACAGGACGGTTGGGCTGGAAGATACGACGGCTGGTGTCGAAGTTACGACGATCCGGGTCGAAGGGGGTCGAGTCAGAAGTGAATGAAGAACTTCAGATTGTGGCCTTTTGTACTGCTTCGTCTAGGAGTAAAAGATAATCATAATTATGATTGTTGTATCTTTACAAAGGGATACATTTCATGCACAGAAGTGTTCCCAAAATATTCTACAGATACAAAAAACAGATAAATATTATTTACGGCAGACTTATGTTTATCATGATATGTACAATCATGCACTTGTGACAGCTCAAGAAATAAATTGGGGTTTCCTTACCCCAAAATGTATTGGTCCGTTTTGGTAGGTAAGGATCACGACAAGTCCCACAATCACAGCGACAGCGGCTAGTACCAACAGCAAGGTCGAAGTTTTGAGGTTTAGCGACTTCCATCCGCTGATCAGGCCTGTGGAAGCAATGAAGAAAAGGCCATAAAGATATTTCATAAGTGTTTGAAGACAGACATCATAACGCCTCGTTTCAAGCTGACTTATTGTAGTCTGTTTGATACTTTGGGTGGCTTCTGGCAGCTGATCCCTCAAAGTGAAGATTCTATTGGCATTGGTAGATAAAAAACACGTAAACATTTAATCTTTATTTTTTTGTTGTTTTGAGAGATCGAGCAACGGAAGTCCTAGTTCAGAAATTGACTTTAAAATGTATGAATGTAAGTTTCAGACTCAGACTCATTTCTAATGACAATGTTATGTAACACACCCACACTCATGATCAAACACACCCACACGTACACACACACACACACCGCAGAGAGAGAGGGAGGGGGGGGGAGAAGAAAGAAAAAAGAAATACACTTTAAGCAATGTCGTTATGTCAGTAGAAATGACACAAGAGAAATTCTCACAGTTTTGAGCCGTTTTCTCCGTGACGTTTTCGTAGTGTGCCTGTGTGTCTCCTCCGGTGGTCTGTGTGTCGTCAGAATCTGCGCTCTCGCCGCTGGTCTCCATAGCAATGGTGACGTCAGAGGCCGAGGTTGAAGTAGAATGCTGTCGGCTGTCATCATCTCGACTGACGCGGAGATGCCCGAGGTTGCTTTGTTGTTTGATCATTCCCTTTGCTCCCCGCTTTGTAACTACAGGTATCCTCGGCACGGTGGCTTTTGCTGCATAGTCCACTTGTAATCGTGACGACCTGGGATGAGTTGTGTCGGAACTGTTATTCTCTGAGTGTCCAAGACGGGTGTTCTCTGTACCTTGGTCACCTCTGGTACCTGGTGACTTGGTGCGGGTTGTAACTACAGGCATCCTTGGCACGGTGGCTTTTGCTGCATGGTCCACTTGTAGGCGTAACGGCTTGGGGCGAGTTGTGTCGGAAGATTTATTCTCTGAGTGTCCCAGATGGGTCGTCTCTGTACATGTACCAGGATCACCGCTGGTACCTGGTGACTTGGTGCGGGTTGTTGCAGGATAGTCTGTCGGTTGCTGAGGCTGAGGACGGGCCATGTCCGTACAGGAGGCGGCGTCCGGAGACGAAAGCGTCGAGCAAGCTGCGCCAATTTCGCCATTTGGATGGGAATCGATGCATGGAGGGTCGATAGGGCAATATTCTTGCTCAGGCGATTCGGGGTTGTTGTAATGACCAGATAATATTTCCTGGAGCCAACCCTGTAAGGACGCACCCTTTTCTTCTTCTTCTTCATCATCATTGTCATGGTAACTGTCACCTGGCAACGGATCTTCAGGAAGCCGGTTGCCTGCATCATCAGCCTCAACCTCCTCTTCATCTGGGAGGGTGTGGTACATGTGGACGCGGAAAGTGCCGTCGACCACGGTAGCGTTCTGGTCTTGTGCCATGGGCGGGAGGCGTAGGTAGGCCACGCAGTACGGTGTGATGCTAGGCCAGTCCTCGGAAGAGTTGGCGGGGGCAGATGGACGTGGGCCGAGGGGAGTATCGGCGGTTGTGTCAGGGCATGCAGTACGCCTATCGCCCCCTGGACGCTGGCTACCGTCTAGACATGGCTTGGGTCTACTGCTCTCGGGAAGTCCTGGTCGGTCCGGGCACGGGTTGGCTCTGTCACCGACGGGACGTGCCAGTTGGACCGGGCATGGGTTGGACCTGTCGCCGAGGGGACGTGCCAGTCGGTCCGGGCACGGGTAGGGCCTGTCGCCGACGGGACGTGATGATCGGTTCGGGCTCGCGTTTAGTCTGTCACCGACGGGACGTGCTGGTCGGTCTGGGCACGGGTTGAGCCCGTTGCCAATGGGACGTCCTGCAGCTGGTCGGTCCGGGCGAAGTTTGAGCCCTTTGCTGATGGGACGTGCCGGTCGGTTCGGGCACGGGCTGAGCCTGTCGCGGGCAGAACGCCAGGATCTCTCGGGGCACGGGTTAATCTTGCCTCCGTCTGATGATCGGTGGGTTTCTGTGGCGTTCTCCATGTGACCTTTTTCGCGGGGAAACGTCAGCATTAATTAAAGAAAGTCTTAGCAGTGAACAGTTTAATATCACAACAACAGCAATAAGTACTACTACTGTAACTAAGAAGGAGTCTACTAGTATCATGTACCTTTACAAGAGACGCAATACGGTCTGAACACCTCTCCAGTAGCCTGCCAAATGGTGCGCTAGTCTGCTTGTTCCGCGATATGTACAAATACCAAACGACTTTTAAAAGAACATTTTCAGACATTGATTGGCTTGCTTCCGTATTTGAATCTGTATATAAATCAGATCGTTCTTTTTCTCCTGCCTTTGTCCCTCCGTCTTCCTCGTGATTGCTTCGTACCAGACTAAGCCAGGCTCAACGCAGCTGCGTCGTGTAATCCCTTGCAAAATGAGCCGGCTGTACAAAACTTCAAAAGAAGAAGGAAATCACCGACTACTTCCATGTCGCTTTGCACTAGGATTTCCGTTCCTTCCTGTATTGGTAATAACGGACATGCCGAGCCTTCCTATCCTTTCATCTCCAAACATATCGTTTGTCGGCTGCAGGGCAGTATCCATTTTGCTGGCGTAAAAATTTTACCAGCTGCAAAAGGAGAAGGCCAGGCGTTTTGCCAGCCATCAAATCATCTTGAGCAGATATGCCAAAACACTTGCCTTCACCATAAAGATTGAAGGGTATTGTTAGCAGTTAAAACGTCCTAAATCATACATGTAGAAAAAAAAGACTACAATCGGCCATGATGAATTTATTGACATTGACCACAGCCCATACTAATTTATCAGACAAGTATATCATAATTTATCAAGTTCTCGTGGTATTTCCTATCAAAATAGCGTACTGAAGAAAACTTGTCTTCACCCTTCTACAGAAAGATGTCAAATCCCGGCCCAATCTTGCGGACTGATGGAAATAGCGTTTCACAAAAATACTAAATTTTTCGAATCAATTAAGATTAACTTTTGAATCAGTTCTTAACAGTAAATCTTAATAAGTATGTAATATGTCATGTTACTGTTAACACAATATCTGCAACATGTATTTCTCTTAGCTATAGTGTACTAAATTGTTCACACGTAAGCAAACAATATACTAGAAAGGCAACATTTGCAAAGCAAATTGCATAATGTTTACCTACCTTCGCATATTATATAAGGTCTGCTCTGTTAATTCTGACTCAAACACATTCATATATATATATGGTGATAGGAGTCTAACTCCCTGCTGCTACAGAATTGCAACATCAGCATGAAAGTTCATCTGAGTTGGTAAATTACATTATGAAAAACTTAAACTGTTCTCCAACTCAAAATTTGACTCACCAGAAATTTTCGACTGAATCACTCAGTCTTCCTCAGCTATCTGACCCAAATGCTGTGGACACGTGATTTTTCCCACGTGTGACGTCGGCAAAGGGTCAAAGGTTGTCTGAAGTCGATACCGGGACGGGGGGCGATATCGACTTCCGACAACCTTTGACCCTTTGCTGACGTCACACGTGGGAAAAATCACGTGTCCACAGCATTTGGGTCAGATAGCTGAGGAAGACTGAGTGATTCAGTCGAAAATTTCTGGTGAGTCAAATTTTGAGTTGGAGAACAGTTTAAGTTTTTCATAAGAATTGCAACATGGTGTAACCTAATACTAGTTAACATGGCGACAGACGTCTGGTTCAGGTCATTAACCTTATTTGTTTGGAGAAGAATAGGAAGAAGCAAAAACGATATGTTGAGCAAAAACGATATGTTTTCCTTCGGTAAACATAATTATACATAGTAGACAGGACAGCTCATGGATCCCCACATCGACCGAGGTGCATCTTCAGAACCCCTCGTCTGTGCAGGTCCCTGTGAAACTCATATTCTTTATTCGTGTCATGGTGAGCTCTAGGGTCGAAGTTATCCTCTAACGGAGGATAGACGCGGTCGTTCGGATAGTAGTGATAGCGGATAGGCTTGTTGTTCGCATCTTTAAAGTAAGGGAAGAATCCGTACATGTGCGAGTGGTTGCAGAACGTCGTCATCATCAGCACACTGATCAGGCCGATGGTAGGTCCCTTCATCTTCTTCTTTGCTACACTAGAGGCAATTCTGGTGGTAAAAAGTAGCAGAGAAGGAAGACAAAATAGATAATTCGTCTTCGTGATATTGAGTAGAATCCAAAAAAGCTAAGATCTGCACCCGAGGTCATTTTATAGGCCAGAACTTTGACAGAGTCATATCACATTTGTACACGTAGAGTTTTTTGTCAATTGTACAGCTAAGCACATGCATGAATTACATTTTTAATTAGATTATTTGAAGACTGATAGATTTGTGGCATCTGTTCTTGTAATGGTAGCTGAAACTGTTACTTACTTGTTTATCTTATCTTTTATTCCACCCTTCATTTTGAGCAGTGAAAATGAGAGGTTATACACTCCCAGAGCCTTGGCAATCTGAGGCTGTGCACGCGGGTCGGAGAGCAGAACGCCAGCCTCAGCGTCCTTCATGCGACTGTCATACACGTCTTCAGATCTGTTTTTCATCTGGGAAGACCTCTCCATCCGTGTAGGCGTCCTATGGTTGAGTACCGTCATGTTGGTTCGTCTTCCAACATCTTTCTCGAACCCGCTGATGACTGGCAGGTCTATTCTGATGACGTAGTCCATGGAGTCTATCTCCTTCCCACATCCGCTGCCCAGCAGAACGCCGCTGTTTCCTATCACAGCGCAGGTGTTGTAGTAGTGGCCGAAGGGGATGGCTGAATCTCTTTGTACTTTCCCCAGCTTCACCTCCTGCGTGCGTTTCTGGAGCGTCAGTTTCGCTGTATACTTTCTGCGAGACAAATTGGACATCATCACAAAACATTACCGATGTACTGTGTGATAATAATGATTTTTACTTCTTAAAAATCATTATGTAGTATATACAAAATACATCCAAATAGTCAGGCATCATCAGTACGTATACACAAAACAGTATCTGACCTTATTTTGTTTTGTTTGACCTTTAGAATCTTCACACTTGTTCATGATCATCATCAGTCGAATGCATTTGGTATCTCTAAATGGAATGTTGCAGAATAAAAGCGTTGAGAAAATAGAGACATGGGCTGCAAGAATGGGAAACAGACGTTGGACTGACCTAACAACATTCAAAGCCCCGGCGTCGAATTGCCATGTTGAAGCTGGCGCCAGGTCCCCAAAGTCCCAAACACCATCTGGCTGAGTAGACATCGCACGTGTCGTTGTCTTTGGAACGTCTGGACTTTCTCTGAATGTTACAGTAAAATATATACCCGCAAAGTGGTTATCTGTTACTCGCTTGATAGTTTTACGGTTTGCACTGTTTAAGCATACATGTACATTGCTTTATACACATACTAGCTATATATAAAGATTTGTCTAACTATAGCAATATCGTCTGTGTCTACTTCCAACATATATGGATAGCTGCGAACATTCGGAAATCGAGACCTTCCCTACAACCGGTGCAAAGCAGTCTTTAGAGTCTATGAACAGTCATTCTCCTTAATTTTACAATATTAATATACACAGAATATGCAATATAAAACTTGACTCAAAGAAATCTGCACCCAACAATATATTATTTTGTAGATAAAACCTTGTTTGTTACCTTAGCGCTGACCACAGCAGGAGATACACCACTGTGAGCAATGATGCACAAATGGTGATGTTTCTCTTATGTTTCACCACACTGCAGTTCAGTCTTGTGCGTTCCTTGTGTTGAACAACAACTATAGGTGCTGTGTGAGGTACGCTGATGACGTCTCTATGTACCGCCATAGCTGGTAAACGATGCATAAACGCAATATCCCATTATTGTCATTTACAGATGCAAAAGTGTAAGTTCATTAAAGGTGAACATCGCAATTCATGCATTATGCCAATGAGGGGGTCAGCAGACCAGCGGCCATCTATTAAAATAGATTATGCTAATTATGACCTTAACGTTGAAGTTATTTATATTATTTGAACACCAGCAAAGCAGCGAAGGCTTAACTTCACACAATAACAGTCCGGCCAGCTGCGAGTTATTCACTTATTTTATAGACCATTTTGGCCGCACGTCGGCAACCATTGGTCACTGCTCAGCGTAACTTACGAACGGGTACGGTACAACAGAAACTAAGTATCTTGTTATTCATTTGACTTAGACCAAGGAGCTTTGAAATGATTTTAACCTCCTTGCTTAGACTTACATAGACTTAAAGTGATAATTGCACCCCGTGAGAGCAGAACATGTGCCCTCGGGCATAAGGGAGGCATGGCGCATAATTCAAGGACTATAGTCTTGCCTACTAGTAATCACATACAAAGGGCTCGTAACAATACTCAGGCAAGATTCTCGCTTGCAGTACACTTTCTCTATAGCGACGAAAAAAGGCATAATAACAACTATGATACGAGGTTTATGAGGAGATAATAGACACTGACTTGCGTGAATCACCTTGAGTCTTCAGCCGGAAAGCTCCGAGCGGGTTGAGCCTGGCGGCTTTAAGTCAGCCTGGCTGGTGGGAAACTGGTCTTTACGGATCTCCGAAAACCGGTTGATCAACACATTCGGTCGAAGGTCATCGTGTAATACTGGTGGATTCCATTTTCCCACACAGTGCCTAGCTCATGTACACCTCACGGCAACACCGCCTTATTGCCTTGTGATAGCTCTGCGTGGGAAATGGTTGATTCCGACATTTGTCTCTAGGCACACATTACCAGACGTACATGCACAAACTGGACTTATGTGGAATTTACCACTACTGGTAAATCCTAATCTTTGTGGAGCGAGCCTCCATATATGTCATTCCAGCTTTTAATAATTCATTCAACCTATGACAAGGTTATGTATATTAGGTTCCATAAGATATGGGGGATAATGCAGCTCTACATTGTACGTGACATTTTCAGCTTGAACACACCCGGCTACACCCATGTTATCTCGCTCATCGCGTGATAGTTAGCGGTTGGCCAATGTTAGCAGGTCAACTGCCAGGTTCTAACTGTATGGTAGTACTTTTTCTTATAAGCGTTTTGCAATTAAGTGGCTGCCACTGTACAATAATATGTACATGACATACAATAATACATGTGAACAATTAATATATGTAGTAAGACAAAAGTAAGAGCTTTTCTCTGTTTGGGCATTTATTCTATAAAAAGCCTGTTAAATATTTTATACATTACAATGTACATATCACAATATACTGAATGCCCTTCGCATCCAATTCCTATGAATAAACTGTACGTAAAACATGTATGGGGGAGGGTATAAAATTGTTACAGATTCTGAATTATTTCAACTGATTCCAGACTCAGTTATATCATTTTGTGCATACTACAAGTCACCACTGCCTTCTATAAGCTTGCATTCAATTTTCAGACTAATGACATTTTCAAGACTAATACCATTTTCATCTATCCAGTTGCTTGCGTAACTGTTACCTGGACATTTTCAACACATTTTCTTGACTTTCTGGTCATGTTTTTCTTTATTCATTTATCTTTTTGAATTTAAATACAAGTTGGATTTCTATCCATTGCTGTTACACAATAACACAATGTACAGCTTACATGTACATTATAATAATAGTATGGTTATAGATCATTCAATTGCACTTATCTATTTCTGATGTACATGTACCCTCCTCCATTAGATACTTTCCATACCTTTTCTGCTCCAATGAAAGGCTTTTAACCATCTTACAGTTTGTGCTGTGCCTCCAAAATTGGCATATTATTTCATTGTACATTTACAGGCAGGACAAACTGGACCCTTCTGCTCATTAACATGTACGGAGGTTTGTTTTTAGTGCATCTGTGTGTTTACTTGACATGTGTCTTTCAATGGTTATTTACACATGCTAGGCATGTCAGCTATGGCTACATTTCAATTGATTGTCAAGGGACCTGCCAACAGTAAATCTGTACTGGAGGGATGTCAAGAGAACTGTTGACTGAACCTGCTGGTATGGAGTGCCTCATGTGTTGGAAGCCCAAGTCTAAGTCTAAGCAGATTTGATTCTCCTACAAAAAGCAAGTCTGAATTGGAGAGACTGGGTGTAAAGAGACTGGGTGTTGACCAAACTTGCTTGAACACTCATGCTTTGGGAGCACAGCCCCTAAGTCTAAGTCTCAGCAGATTTGATTCTCCCATCATATTTCTGTCATCTCTGCGTTCTGGTTCCCGACTTTCTGTGCCATGATCTCCTTGAGTCGCCACAGCCGTGCGGCGTGGGCCTTGCTGTCCGTCCCGGGCGTGCTGCGCTGGAGCAGGTTCAGCGCGTTGACGTACTCCAGCTCTGTAAAGTGTACCCCCTGCTCAACTAGGCTGTTCAATATCTCCTACAATAAGGCAGAAAAAGTCAACCAACTAGAAAGGTAACATTTGCGAATCAAATGAATTGTTTACCTTCACATGGCCCAGCTTGACAAACTGCTTTGTTTGCTCTTTATTCTTAAACACATTCATACATATATGGTGACCATGCAGCCCATCTTGAACTTTGCATGGCATTTGCAACATTTGTATGTAACCCATGGTGAGAGACATCTGATCCTGGTCATTGAACAAAAGAAGAAGAAACAGAGCAAAAACAGTATGTTTCCCTTTGGTAAACATAATGTACCATCTAATCAATTAATCAACCAATCATCGGCCTTTATTCTGATAGATTGAGCTAGTTGCAGCATCTTGGTAGGCAATGGAGGTTATATACTGTAGCTACTGTACATACCTCCACAGTCATGTAGAGCATCTCGTAGTACTGCCGAGCGTGATCCAGGTCCACTTCTCTGGACATGGTGATGTTAGTCAGGTTCTGTTGGAGAGCAAAGATGTTCCTGCACCTGGAACAAGGGAAAATGACACATTAACGGTTTGCAACATACCAGTATACCAGAACTTCAAGATCATACCACCAGTCAAATTTTCAAAGTCTTACATTCCTGGCCACCCCCAAAACCACATGATGACCCCCACAGGCACACAGAGTTTATGACCCCATTACTCCAATGAAACCCAATTTCAACCAACTCAATTCCCAAGCTCCCCGTGCAAACACAACACTCAAACACACACAACACAAGGAAAAGAAATGCTGTACACCTACATTTTCTTGATGCCAGAGTGGCTGATACGGTTGAAGTACTGAGTACTGTTGACAAGGATGGACGACATCTGGTGACCCAGGCCTTCAAATATGTACCTACAATATCATAAAAAATCCTTTAGAATATGGAGTCAACTTCCCTGAAATATAAAAGATTTTATTTGCATTACACATTGTATTTGAACAAATGTTTTGAACCTCATACCGTCTGTTGAGTTATCCTGCAAGATAAACATGTTTACATTTGCACATTGTTAGGTCATGAATCACAGTTAAACATTAACTGTGTTTCAGAAGTCAAAGTTGTTTATTAATTAAGACCTGAATGGGTAAAGTCCCTTTCTTCACAACCGCCATTTTGCCTAACAAAATCTCAGTTCTCCTTCTCAAAAGAGTTCACCCACAACCTCCCCACAATGTCTGACCAGGAATCAAGGCAGATTCAAGGACAGCAGCAAGGTCAATCAGACCAGGCAAGTGCAAGAATGACACAGGTTGGAGCACTGGGTAGTAGTGCAGAGGAGCAAGGGGTTCATCCAGGGGGCCAGTATGGGGGGCTGGGGCTAGATGAGGAACAAACAGGCCCTCAGACTCCTGAACAAGTTGCAGCTCCAGTTCAAGCAGCCCTGTGGGCAGCCGCGCAAACTGCAGCACAACAGGCACCTGTGCAAGCAGTCAGACGTGAGGGCCCTCCCCCTGTATTTGAAGCTGCAGTGATTGAGAGGAGGGAGGGCGGCTTTGGGGGAGCAACTATCCGGATCCTGGACAGAGGTCTGGCAGCTACAGCCATCGTTGGAGCTGCAACTGTAGGTGCGACCTATGTTGCCAGCCAAGCCACACAGTCACCATCAGGAATTGCAGGTGCTGGGTTTGTGGCAGGAGCCATGAGTCTAGCAGCATTCTACATGGGCAACAGACAACAGACCGACGAAGCCATCCGCAGAGCAGTAGAGCGAGAACGACATATCCAAGTAGAGAACATAGAGGAAGGGTCGCTTCTGGTGCATGTCAAGTTCCTAACACTGGTAAGATATTGCTATCAAGCTCTGGCTATATATTTCATAAGGTTGTGGTTAAAGCTAATTATTTGATAGGAAGAGGTTAATATAGTCACAAAAACAGTGCTGTCGAAAATGGTAGAAACAAATCATAAGGGCAATAGTCATGTTATGTTACTACAAAGAAACTAATACATTTGTTTGTTTGTTTGTTTGTTTGTTTGTTTGTTTGTTTGTTTGTTTGAACCATGATTTATTCATGAGAAGCTCAAATTGGCCTGCAGGCCGCTTTTCATTGAGGGAAGAGGGAAGGGTCACACAAACTACATCAGAATGATAAAGTAATAATTTAAATTCACTCACTAGCCCTAAGAAGTCGATACACTTATTTTTAAACATGCATGGTACAAAAACATACAAAAGGTGATAGCTCATATATGGTTTGTGCCCATTCTTTTTGGTCATTGCTGATTTCTATTGCTTAGATACTTAAAGATACTTAGATCTCCTAGATTTGTTACTTGTTTGCTTGCTGTGATTAGTGCAACAGTTACTACACACCCCATTCGTACCAGACTTCACATACATGTTGTAATCAGTTCATTGTTTGTGAATGCAAATTAACTGGCTCTGTAAGGGTTTCAACCAGTTCTTCTGAAACCACTTTGAGAGGAGGTAAAAAATCCTAATGTTAACAAGGAGCTAAATTTTACCAGTTTCCTGACGTCGTACTTCAGGTTTCATCAGGTCAGCATCCGGGCAGTGTGTGAAAACTGTGCAAATAATTTTTGACTCTCAAACTTTTTGATCGTTTTCATTGTGTTGTGGTTGTGTGCAGTATTTTTCTTCCATTTGCATTGGAATCAGCATACATAAGCTGGTCACTGGAGGATAGCCAGGAAAGAAATATTATTGATAGCTGCGCTCTTCCAATATATTGTTCTTGCAGGCTGGCTACTGGGTGCTGCGCAGTTTCAATGAGAAGATCCACCATGGAACTGACCGCACCTGTCTGCAGCTTCTTCTGGAGGACGAGCTGCAAAGGATCGGCTGGACCGGACCAATCCAAGTGGAGCTGGAGGGGTGGTCATTTTCTGAGGAGGAGGGACAGAAAGAGGAACAGGAAAAGGCAGCAGAGACAGAGCAGAAAGGGGAGATATGGGAGTGGGCAAGGATGATGGAGAAACAGGTATGCTTAGCTAAGTTTGTTTACTACACGGGTATGGTGGTATTGTTTTTGGTATGTTTATGTGTATGTTTTGCTTTTGTGTCCATAGGTTTTTATTTCATTTTATTTAAGAGCAGCACTGGCATGAAGTGAGAAGGAGATTTTGTAATTGCAGATTGACAGGCAGGTCCACCCACACAGTTACTGCAAGCCACCGTGGGTACCCTCTTATGGCTTGTCACAAGTTAGTTTGTGTACTTCTGGCTTCTCAGGCTACAAGGTTTCTGTTCCAGGTGCATTGCAGTCTAACCATATCCTTGTTTAGTGCTGATAACTTCACAAAAAAATCTAGATACTTCCTTGAGATTTAAAGTTATGATTTGCTGCTTTGATTTATGCGCACAGCACTACCATAATGTCTTTAGTTGTTTTGTTACTACAATGTGTTTTATACAACTACCAGATTTGTAGCAGCTACTATACAACATTAGAAATCAGAGATTTCAGACTTGTTAAGTTTTTTCTTCCTTTCCAGTCAGAAGACTCAGGCTTGTCTGAAGACGTGTCCTCTGTATCAACCATGTCCATCACTTCAGATGAAGATGTGCAGGAGGGCCCGCTCAAGTGGCAGAGAGCCAGGCTACAGATGTACAAGACCTCACCAACAGCAAAACGTGAGATCAAGGCCTACAGTTCCTGGGAGGAAGGACCCAAAATCCTGACCAGCAGTGGGTATGCAGACATAGGGGGTGTCAAGGCATTGGTGAAGGGATTCATGCTTCGTGACATGTTATCACCAGATGGCATAAATACACTGCTGTATGAAGAGTCATGGCTGAACCTGACTAAAGCCCCACTGAAGCAGCTGATGACCTCCCAGCTACAAGCTGACCCCACTGACAGCACCTGTCTGCTGCTGACCGCCCTACAGCTGCCACATGGGAACAGCCGGGTGCAGACCCTGCAGCAGGTGGTCGATGCCATCCTACAGCACGGAACAAAAGACTGGCTGTACCAACACCTGCACCACATCTACTGCTACCTGGGATGGGGCATATGGAAGGCAAGCCCTCAGCCAAAACCAAAGATGATATCAAAACTTTTCAAGGGCAGTGACCTAACAACAACCAATCTGCCTGCTCGAGCCAAAGCACTATCCACCATGGCGAGTTCCCTTATGTACAAAGGGGACCATTTGGAGACTGTGTACTACACAGCCGTACTGTCTAAGGAAGTGTCTGAGACAGCAGCAATCAAACAGTTTGAACACTTCCTCAGGCTGGCACCAGAATGTAATCTCTATGTGCCTAATGCTCACTACTGCCTGGCCACCCTGTACAAACAGCAGCGGGACAGTCAGAAGGTGATTCACCACTTCAAAAGTGGGCAGCAGAGGGAGGCCAACAGCCTACCTGGGTTTTCTGAAGTCCCCAGAGCCATCAAAGACCCTGCTGAAAAGGCATATGAACACGTCATGCTGCTAGAGGAGAGCTACAAGCAACTGATGAACATGGAGTTTCTTCCATATGATGACGATGATGACGATGAGTTCTGATAGACATAATCTGTTGTAGGCCTGATCCAATAACTGAACCCTTTGAAAATGGCCAGACTGTCAAATTAAGAAAACATCAAGTAACCCTAGCCTTAAGCTGTGGGTTCTGGATATATCTGAGATTGGGGTATTCCCTGGGTAAAAACATTGCAGCAGCAGGACAGGGAAGAGGTCAAGGGTCAAATGGTATTACGCAATCACTGATAATCTGTTAGAGCTACAATAGTGATGTTGGCTGACAAGCAATTCTTTTGCTGTTTTCTGTGTGTTTTGGGCAATAAATTCCTGTTTTAAGTGCCAAAATGTCAGAGTTTATGCAATAGGGCCAAGTGCTTAGGGCCTTGATACTATCATTTCTGTCAAAAATTATCCTTCCTTTGGCAAGGATTTTGCAGAAAGTAGGAAAAGTGTGGAGTTCATGTGGAACAAGTTTGAGATCAGGTGGGAGTTGGAGACTTTGGCATCGGGCATGGAACTGACAGGGTACATTGTAGATGTTGGAGAAATCTACCCATTGTAGATGTTGGAGAAATCTTCCCCAATGCTACATGAATTTTATTCCATCCCAGAGCTCACCTGAACTTGTGTGTGTTGAGTGAAGTTGTGAGAGATTCCTCAATGCTGCTCAAGTCTTTGTTGAGTTTGACCACCAGTGGATCAGGGTCTGTGCTCTCCAGGTTCCCACTGTAGTTACTCTGTAGGAACAGAGGTTAGAGTGTAAGGAACTGGTGAAACAGAGGGCATTTGTTTGGGGAGGGGGAGGTAAACTTTCTCTTTGCAACTGCTGAATAGGGACTAAAAGGGAGAGCTTTGAGCTTCCAAAAATGCAGTGAACAGGGCAAAACAGCAAGTATCTACAGTAGTTGCCATGTAATGCTAAATGTATGTTTGCAGGCCTATTTATTGTAAAAATCATGCTTTTGTCATTGCTGACATGTCCTCAAAAGGCCACACACCTACCTTATCCAAAAGCAATTTTTAAAGAATATTGTTTGCTTAATATTTTCCCTGCTGCCTAATCCCATAACCATACAAACTTGGTGCAGAATGGCTACCTTAGCAGGCTGAAGGTTAATGTTTTACCTGCTTTGCCATGGGCAGGAGGAAGAAGAAACAGTGGACTCGGACTTCCAGATGGAGAACCAGCAAGCACGTCTCGGCCAGATCCTGGAACTCACGGGCCAGAGAGGTCAACGACCTGTAGGTCAGGGAAAGGAGGTATGAATTAAGAGTGCTCTCTCCTTATTAACCTGTTATGCAACACACACTGGATTTGAATCTGCATCTGTCCCAAAATTAAATCAATCCTTCCATAAGCTAAAGTCACAGATCACAAAAAATCATGAAAATCCATCAAAATTTCCCAAAACTATGCTCAAACACTGAAGGTATGAACAGAGGAACTTACGCTAGTGTGGCAGGAGATACAGGCTGCAGGTCCTGGAAAAAATAATGGGACATCAGTGCGAAAGCTTGAATATATTCAGCACATCATCATGATCATGCCTCCGGATATTCAGCACAATGCAACATTTACATCACACTTAGGGTATTAGAAAGTCTCTATGTCAAAACTAAATTATTGCATGAAAACTAGATAAAGATGTTGAACACCAGTTAAAGCTAAAGGTTGGTAAATGTGGTACAGTAAATACATGTATGATATATATTATACAGTATTTGCACAGCTTTACACAACGTTCAGTGTAAGTACATTGAGGTCTTACGAAAGTTTTACTTCACCTTCAAAACAGGCATATTAACATTTATGCTACTTATATCTCTACTGTGATAACATAGGTTTACATTGTATATGTAAACGTATGTTATCACAGTAGAGATCAGGTACACACAGTGATTACAATACCCCCATGACTCACAGAAGGGTTGGAGTCTGTGCTGGCAGGACTCAGGCCCATGGCAGGGGAGGCCAGCGGCAGGGTGCTGTTAAAGGTACGGATCCGCCCTGCAAACCACTCCTACAGGGAACAAACCAGGAACGGTCAACACACAAAATATGTGTTTGTTTGTGCTTTTATATAAACTGCATTTGGCCATTTTGGCTGCTTTTCAAGGAGGCGAGTGCAAGTTGGTTGGAATTTGTTTGTTTGTTTGTTTGTTTGTTTGATCTATCATGATCAACTCAATGCTAAAGTAATAAAATTTTTCTGCTGGCCACTTTTCATTGAGGTCATTAGGGAACAGATCGGGCTCAGACAAACTAGAATAAGATACAGAACCTGGTTGTATGATTTAAGTTTTACAAAGTTCATATAGTTGTACAAAGTCTATTATAATTTACATAATATCCTTACACATATATGTCAGGGAAGGGACTCTGAGATCTGAAAGTCCAAGTCCATAACCATGACTACAAGACCAACTTTTAGATGCTAAATATTTTTTCCACAGATTTTGTACAGGTGAGGACTTACCAAACTCTCGTGCAGATTTGCCAGCACCCTGAGGTCATTCACATCCTGCAGTACCTCGTACTTTGGTATGAGGGAGTCGCCAAGATTGTTAGTCAGCAGGTCAGACTCCTGTGGAATGGAGGTAGACAGTATGTTTTTTTCAAAGGTTTGATATATAAATGATTTGGTGATTGAATGGTTTGTTGGTAGAATGAAAATTATTAATGTTAGTAGAAAAAAATTAAGTGACGATACAGTAAGCAGACACCCAACAGCTTTGTGCCATACAAACTTAATTTTACAAGGGGTATCCATGTAGTACACATTCTGCATTAACTTTGTCTTTTGACTTGTCCTTTCCCTATACAGTAAATAAGATGCACAGAAACCACAATCCTTTGCGAACAAAGGACAAAGACAATGCTCATAATCCAGTTATAACTTTCCCAATCACCAATTTGAAAACTGATGTCAGCACAATGGCCAACTAATTATAATGTAAAAAATATTAGAACCCTGACTTACTTTTTTCCTTAACTCAAAGTACAAGAATTGATGTTAAATATGTACATGCAGCTGAGGTATACCTTTAAAAAACATCTACTACTAATTTCTAACAGAGAATTGAACACAAAAATGAGTACAGGTATAACCTTGAACATGACATGCAAATTATCACCATGCAAATACAAGCTCCTCTGTCAAATAAATGTTAAAGCATTAAGAAAAGCTGGGACAGGACATCACTGGAACACCATAGAACATGCATCGCTGCGCAATAGAAAGCTGTTGAGAAGCATGAGTTGTTTGCTGAAAATGATAAAAAAAGGAAGGCAGCAATGTCAAGAAGATGACCCGAGCCCTGTTACCAATCTGTAACCTTAAAACAAACAAAACCTTGGAAGAAACCAGACCTTTTGCACATGTAAACATAAGAAGTCAGTGTTGCTGGATGCTATGGCAATGGTTAACAGATATGTACATAGACATACAGGTATGAAGGGATTACAGCTGCAATGTATATTGTATTATAGTAATTTACATGCTGTATGGGAGAGGTAAATGAAAAAGACCTGCTCCATGTATATACAACATGCATGGTTTACTGTTATAGTACATGTATGTAGGGATCTAAAAATGTTATTAAAGATAAATCTATATCTGGAGGACAGCCAGTATCACATGAAACCCAGCCATTAGACATTGCCATGCAGGTTATTTGCTTGTCCATGCCAACACCTTTACATGTACTACATGTCTCTGTGTGCCCACAGGGCTTCCCGCCATGTCTACCTTGTTGTTCCACATGGTGGCAATTCTCTCCTCTGTCCTGTCCCTCTGCTGCTTGTGTGAGGAAACACAGTTAGAACATGCTGAAGTCAGTATGTACTAGTCCTATCTAGGATGTTAGAGCCTACATGCTGGTGGTGTGAACAACCTGTGTGTGTATGAAGTTTCATATCATTATCAACAACTTAAATTAGGAAGTTGTAGGACTTGACATGCCTTTAGGTATCAACACAGCAATGATACCTAGGTTAGATGAAGTTACAAATTTTAGATTCTTTGGTCTCAGTTTGCTATTCTTGGGTTCTGCTTTAGTGTAACCTTGATGTTTTAGTATTGTATGGTTTTCCAGACCATTATGGACTTTGTTCATGAAAGTTAGACAATCATCCAGGTAATGAGATACACAAGAAAATTGTTACTTAAGCAACTGGATGGACATCTGGATGGTCTTAATGGTCTCATATTGGTGTTTTTGTCAGTTACTCTTGTGTTCTCATCATCCACTCCTCGAACATATGTTATTTATGGTTGATGTTCTTTGCTGCTATGAACCTTTTGGTCTCCCCTTTGAACAATGAGCTTAAAACAGAATATTTTGTATGTGAATCTGAGCTTGTACCATCCTGTTTTGCACAGTTGAGTCCTGGTCTTTCGAGACTGACTGACAGAGAGAGAGAGAGAGAGAGAGAGTGGTCTCACCTTGGTGTTCCTGGCCCTGACGGCCTCCGGGTTCTCTGCCTCGTCGTCCTTGCGCGCCCGCCTGTTCTCCAGGTTCTGCCAGTTGGGCAGCGAGCGCAGCAGCCGGCTGATGTCCTCGTCCTTCGCCCAGGTGGCGCTGATGATCCGCTGCTCCTCCGAACCTCGCTGCACAACTCCTGCAGGAGATGACAGTCTTCATGAAAAAAAAGGGCTCGAAACACTTTTTCAGTACATGGACCAGTGCAGGTTAGGTACAGGTCGACATCAGAAAAACCTGCACAGCTCCAATTTTACCTGCACTAACCTGCATATACCCAGTACATAGACCAGAGCAGGTTAGGTGCAGGTAGACATCAGAAATACCTGCACAGCTCCAATTTTACCTGCACTAACCTGCATATACCCAGTACATGGACCAGTGCAGGTTAGGTGCAAGTAGACATCAGAAGCACCTGCACAGCTCCAATTTTACCTGCACTAACCTGCATATGCATTTCCAGCTGAGACCTCATATCCAACCCGTAGTTTTGTATCATCAAAAGTTCTTTAAAGAGAAGGAAAATCTCATTTTTTTATCCTTAAGATAAAATCAAGTTCACAAAAATGCTCTTGTCAGAACTACTGTAAATTCATTCATTTTTTAGGTGGTTTGATATTGCAGTAGACAGGCAAAGAAGCTAAGGTTTCCAGTATGTTCTAAATTTGTGGTTGAAACAATTCTGCAGTACAGTAGACATATCCACAACCACAGCACGTTAAGTCAGAGTACATGTAGTATGCTGTGCCCAGTAGACAACACTGACCTCTGTAAGCAGCCTGGCACATGTCCTTGTAGTCCTGTAACATCTTACAGATCATGGACAGGAAGTGGTCAGAGTAGGCGGGCAGGGCGTACATGAGCTCACGCAGCTCAGACAGACAGCGCTCCACTGTTATGGTGCTCTGTAGAAGTAAAATCACAGATTTCAAACTTCTGGGAAGTAGACATAGTTTGTGTTAATGAATTATACCATAGAACACATCATTACTTAGAAGTCATTGCATGATGAAACTTATTACAACATGGTATATGTTTCATACATCCTTGGCAACCACGTCCTTCAACCCAAGGCATACTGAATCAAAACAATGTCTATCAAGTGAAACACAATCTCTGCCCGCTCACTAAGGAATCGAAACATACAAACCTAACACAAAACAGTACTTCTGTCCCAGAAGTAATGAAGACAGGACATATGGAAGGCACTGATGTTTACATTACATTAACAATCAAGATATCACTGAAATTCTTTCTCATGGAACACCAGTCTGTCACTTAAGTATAGGTCACAGAATTACTGGATACAAAACATCTATAGTATGTCATTCCAGAGTAAACAACACCTCTGACCTGAAGCAGTGGTCTCTGTAGCCCCATATTTTTCATTGTTTGAGCGTCCGTCAACAGTTTTAAGGCCTCTGCACCTGAGGGGAACAACAACACAACTTTCAGCACCTGTGGTCAACAGCAGCAAAACTTTCAGAACCTGGTGTATGAAACATCAACATTTCAACCTCTGTGTTAAACAACTACCAAAGTCAGGCCATGTACATGTAACCATGAAACAGGAAAAATATTTGGTAGGAATTCAAAACTTCAACTGTGTTTCAAAACTTGAAAAGCTTACCCCTGCTGGCTTGTTGTATGTTCTTGTTGACGTCCATGTGAACTTGGCCCAGGAAAATTGTCTTGATGTAGTCAGTCAGGAAGTCATGCAGCTGGCAATGAGCACTGGGGAGGGCAGCAGAAATATTTCATCATTTTGTGGTATTTGTAGTTTGCATTATTTCTGTATAATTACACAAGAAATTCTGATCTCTGCTTCACATCATCACATTTCATTTGAGTTTGAATGAAAAATTCACAATCACAGTCTTGTCAGCCAAGGCCATAAAGGTGTGAGTGTCCGTACCCTGATGAGTACTGCAGTGTCACCTCAATCTCCATCACAAACCTCTGCAGGGTGTTGAAAATGACTGTAGGAAATATATTAAGACATATTTCAAATAATACAACATAAAGCAAGTGGATAACATTTGCTAGCAAATGCAGGCTGTCTCCCTCCAACTAAATACATGTACATCTTGGTTAGGAAATTTGCATTGGTCACCAGGTTAGACAGTAAGGAGATGATTAAAGAATCATTTCTGACAAGGAGCGTATAATGCACCAGGCCTACCCGTGATGTTCTTGGCACCAGGTTCACACACATACTGAACCTCTGTCCCATTCTCAAGCAGGTCTGGCTCACCCTGGAAGAAACAGGAAAGCATTAAACAGTCATTTCTTTAGTAGTAATTAGTAAGTATTGGTCTACATGCAAGTTGAGTGGTTAGCAATTGTCCTTCTGAATCAGCTTTTGTAATTTTGAGCATTTTGCATTTTGACAGTTTACCAGTTATGACACAGCAACTTGCAGATATGATTATTATTAAGACTTGTGATCATCAGTATTTCCCTGAAAAACTGTGCTCTTGCACTAAGAGAGCTAAATGTTGTATGATGTACTTTGGTAATTAAAGTAAAATAAGTTCAGGATTCCCTATGTAAGAATATAGGTCCACCTACCAGCCCTCCTTTCTTTCTCTTCTGTTCTCGAAGGTAGTTGTTCATACTGATGGCATGAGACGACATCTCAAACTTGAACAGAGGGTACTGGAGACAGCAAGGAGAAAAACAGTAAACCATTGTACACTTTATTATTCAATACAATACTTATCTGAATAAAGAAAATTGGATAAAATTGGTGTAGAATTGTTCATAATACTACAAGAGGAACTCACCTTCCTTACTTTCTGGTGTCTCTTTTTGGTGAAATATGTGCTGATATCACTGAAAGAAGTATTAAAAAGTTGTTTAGAATTTGTGTTTCACTAATTCTCCAACCAATACAAAGCCATTGCTATCTAAAACAGATGTCTGATGAAGTATTTTTTCATGATCAAAGCTACATCCAAAAACAATCATGGTTATCAGAAGTACATGAGTACTTGGAGGTCAGTGTTGTGGTACGAGTTCTGCTTTAGGTTACTTACACTGCTGCATCTGTGTAGGCAGACGGCACCTGGTTCTGTGAGGCAGACGCTGTGTTCTTCACATCCAGGTAGTCGTTCAGCACCAGCTGCAGCTGTAAGTACACAGGTGCAGGAAACTTTGGCGTGAGACAGAACTCTGGTGTGAGATATGGCACCGAATGACCTTATTCTTGAACTGGTAGCACTAAAGATTTCTGTGCTAAACATTGAAAAATTGAGAAGGAAACCCTGAGGAAAAAATCCTTGAGTCAAGTTCCCTCACAAATTTAATCATAATGTTTCTTATTATTATGCCTGACCTATCCAGAGTCACATAAATCAATTTGATTCATAATTCAATCAATGACATCTCCTAATCAAAAGCAAACCCACACATTCATGTACATGATGTACTCACCACAGCCTGTATCCTAGACCACACATCTTCCCTTCCATACAGCTCAAACTCAGCTGAAAACAACAGACAAAAAAGTTAGCCAGTCAGAGTGGCTTTATGCTGATCTGCCTTTCTTTGATTTCCACCAAATGTAAATTTGAATGCGTGAAATTTGGTAAGGGCTGTTACTAGACTGAGACTAAGTACAGGAATTAATAATTAATTCCTTGATATTATACACAATCCATACAACATTTACATGCATGGTACACAAATATCAGACATGCATGGTACACAAATATCAGACATGAAGGAATGACAAAAATGATCTGTAACAACGACAACCTACCTTGTCCATGAGAGGCAGAGTTCTAGAGGGGGAAACAGAAAACAAAGATTTGAATCAAAGGAGGTCTAAATAGAGTTGTATCAGTAGGTAACTCATTTGAATTAAATTTTTCAAATGGAAATAAGTTTCAAACCCATTTATTGTCATTTCTATATTAACAGTGTAAAATAAGAATATGTGCTTTTGAAGACTACATAACTTTATCTGATACAAGTCTTAGAGAGCACTTTTTCTTGGGTTCATCTAAACATGGGTGAATCTACAATTCTACATTTTAAGTGTGAGAATGTTATGATTTGTTCAAGTTGTTTTACCAATTCTAGCACTAACTTACATATGCATGTAGAATTTTTGGCCCTGTAATTGTTTATTTGTATATTATTTATCATTAAGGTGCCAGAGACTATTCTGCAGGAAAGTGATCAAAGGAGCAAACAGAACTACAATAGGCTGGACACCAGGTGCAGGCTAGAACTCCAGTGATCACCGTACACGTGTACAAACAAACCGCAGTGTGTGTGCTCCCACCTCTCCCTTACACCACTGACATCTCTCCATCACCACCAGCCAGGCCCAAACAAAAACAACAATAGTACTGATCATTGATCTAGTGACATAATGCCAGCTAAAACTCCAGTGATCACCATGTACAAACAAACCGCAGTGTGTGATAAAACCTCTACCCCACACCATGTTTCTCCGTCACCACCAGCCAGGCCCACACAAAAACAACAACAGTAATAAGTACCGATGGTTGATCTGGTGACACAATGCCGGCTACCAGGGGAAAGTAACTCACGCTGATGCGCTGCAGGAACAGCAGGACTGCGTCGTGGGCCTGTGCCACGCAGCGGAACTTTTCAAACAGGAGCTCAAACAGTTCCAGCAGGAGCCGGGGCTGGTTCTGCTGGGTGGCTGTTTCTCCTCTCTGCTCAGCACTGGATGGAATCAGGTTGTGTTGAGAGAATAATGAGAGCAACTTAAACATTTTACAACTGTTTCATATGTTAACATTGGCTCTAACTTATGTTTGCCTATTGAACAGTTGTTTGTGAAGGCAACATGAACCTTATTTCATAAATGACATTTTCTTGAGACCTGAAATATGATTGAAATGTTCAGCTAGTTCTACAATATGACATTTTACAAAAGATATTTCTTGACAATTATGACTAGGGAAATAGGACAAAGTCAATATGAGCACAGCTGTTGATAGTATAAAACATATATCACATACTTGTCCAGTACTTGAGCTGTTGTCCTGTGTACGATCAGTGTCATCTCCTTCTCCATACGGCTCTTGATAGCCTGAACATAAGCAAAGGCATGAAGTTAGGCCTGATTTGTACATGTACAAATTCTTACTAGTACTTACTTACAAGGGCCTGATTTACATAAGGCAAAAATTATCTGTCTTACAATAATCAAGTGCTTCATGTGTCATTGAACAGTTTTTTGTGGATGATGATGTAAAAATGGCCCCCATGACATGCAGCAGTGGCATGCGACGATTGCCATTCAGCACCTCCAGGGTGTTATTTCTTTTGGTTTTGATCTGAATTGTCACTAGTACAGTCACTATCGGTAATAAAAAGTAGTGGATGCTATCTGAAAGGTCTGACTCATTAGAGAATCTATCCAGTTACCCAAGATTTATATAGTTTTACGTATAAATCCTTACCTCCACTGTTTCTGGTATTTTCTGCAGGATGGAGAGTGACTCGACCAGGACAGACATGAACTGTACACTGTCTGCCTCAGGGTCACCCTCCATGTTCTCCTGAACCTGGGCAGGGTCGTCGTCACCGGCGGACACACCCGGAGACATGTAGTCCAGACTCCGAGACCCTGTAACAGGGTGGGAAAGGGTTATACAAAGACATCAAATAGTAGTACGGATTTTAATTATTTGAATGGCCCAAGACATTGAAAGTAAAGGGCCAATATCATGCGTTTTTGGCAATTTGAAAGTAAAATCTGATATAGTCATCATTACAGCATTTCTAGTTATTAAGCTAATCTATACAGATTTTGCTACTTCTGAAACCAATGTGGCTCTACCTTTGAACTCAGCACGACAATTCTGACAGAAAAGTAAGGAAGTTTTCGAGGAAACAGCTACCTTACCTACAGACTACTAGTCTAATGAAGAAGATGATGATGACTAGTCTAATGTGACAGTACTGCAACATCTACAGTCACCTAATCTATTCACAGAAAAACTGGGTAGTGTCAGTAATTAAACAGGGGGAAGGTTAGGCAGGGTCTCTTCAGCTGACCATGACCTTACTTGAGTGTCCTCTCTTGTGTCCCTTAGACCCTGGGGTGGATGCAATCCCCTCGGCTAGGACTGTGTTGAGCAGTGTGACATGCAGCGCATTAACAGGACATCACATGTACATGGAGCATGGTATGATGACAGCACAAACAGAAGTGGCAGCGTGATAAGAGTATGGTTATGCATCAGTTATGCCGCAAACGAAAACAGCGTCATTGATACAGTATGATCATAACAACTAAATAAATTTAGGCACAACAGCAACTGATCACACAATGTCACAATCACCACCATGCATATGAAGTGTGATATCAGGTTGATTATGATAGCACAAAGCAGCATGATAATAGCATGGGGTGTAGCAGCAATGATAAAATAGAATGGCAACAGCATGCGAACAACATCACAATGTAGCATTTTCCAAGACCATTACTTGACGTAGCATGGAAACGAGGATGATAATAGCGCAACAATATTGCATAATATCAGCGTGTTTCAGCAGCTGTCAAAGAGTGCTACAGCATGATAACAGCACAACACCACACACAGCACAGTGACAGCCCTAGGCCTACACCCTAACAGTTCTGAGGCCCAGACTAACAGAAACCCCAGACCTTGTTGCAGCAGTTTCCTGCCCGGACTGGGAGAGACGTCCCGGTTGGCCGTGCCCTTGATGGACCCCTGTCTGCGCAGAGGTTTGTTGACTTGTGCAGTGGAGCGGATGTACAGGTGACGATGCAGCTCCTCGATTAGAACCTCGTGCATTTGCTACACAGGAAAAACAAAACTGTGAGTCACACAGATAGTGTATCTGTTTTTGTTAAACAAATACAGACTGGTTGCAATTGTTTGGAAAGACACCAAAATTTTAAGTCTTCATGATTTGAGTGATTCCATAGGGCAAAAGAGACAAAACGATAATGAATGACAAAAAAAACAAAAACATAACTTTCAAATCATATTTCCACCAAAAATTCTAGAGGCTATAGAGGCTATTAAGTCTACAAATTGTTGATGGTAAGAAGCTTCCAGTCCAAACCTCTTTCTTGTTCTGCAGTTCTGCTCTGACATCCCTGAGGGCCTCGACACCACAGAGGGTTCCTTCCAGGGAAGCAACTGGATAAAACATAGACCATTATCGCATAGAATATTATTTCATGGGTGATGTCCCCACATACAGTATTTCAAAATTTGTCTTAAATCGTTGACTATATGACAACCCTACACCATAATGAACAGCCCTACCTGCCGACACCAGTAGTTCCGTAGCGTGCAGGTAATGTTTCTTAGCCATGTACTCATCCAGCTTCTCTGGGGTCTGCTTCACATTCTCACTGTAGGGGAAAGGGGTAAAATTCAGTCATCAAAAGACAGAAGACAACTTACCTACAATGTACTACTTTCTTTTCGAATTTTTATGCTTAGTTTCAAGTATTCTTACAAGAAACTGTTATGAAAATCATTATTCCCCTGGATAGTCTAAAAGTGGATACCAAAGATATCATGACAGACTGAAAGACATCAGAATTATGCTTTTTCAAAAGACATTTAAAACTTTTACATGTACTATATACATACAGTGACAAGTTGCAATGTTGGGCTTTCAATATGGCATGCTTAGAATTTGGAAAAGGGCCTTTTGAACTTAACCATACCAACCCTACATAACCAAAACATGCATGTAGTCTTTGCTAAAAGCTAGCCTTAGCAAGACTAAGGTTAAAGTAAACAGTGTTCCTGGTAGGATATATTTTCAGTCTGCAGAGACTACACGTACATCTGTTGCAGCAGTGACAGGATCTGTTTGTGTTCGATCCCCTCGATCCACAGTTTCCGCAGCTCATCACGTTTGCAGCGCAGGAGGCTCTTACACGACTTCAGGTTCTGTCGGACGGCCTGCATCCTCTCTCGACAGGCTATGAAAACGGTACAAACCTTAGACAAGTACTACATGTACAGCCACAGTCAAATACTGGAGTAAGAAAGGTAAATACTAGTATTCCTCACATTACAATGTTACATTGCAAGATTACATACAATAGTTTTATAAAAGGTAGCTTTAAGAAAATATCAACAGACAGAATAAATCTTCATACAGCATACAATTTCTGTTAAACAGAATAAAATGCTACATACTGTGGATACTTGTTGAGATGGTGCTGAAATGGTTCACTGTTGCTGTCAAGTCATCATAGTTTTCTGAAAAAAAAATGTGCAAATTTGTTCATTACTTATTAAGTACATGTAACAGTGTAGTATAGTGGTGTGATATCTATAATTATGCACACTGACATTTACTTCTAATAAAACAAGCAAATACTTCGTACATGTATTTTTCAGACTATTATGATAAACTATGTTCTACAGCTGTCATACTATATAATCTATAGTCATCATCATTGTAAACGTTATAATTTTAGCGTGTAATGTACACAACAACAGTCACAGCATGTTATGTACACAACAACAGTCACATCACTCCACATAACAGACACTGACCTTCCACAAGTTTGTCTAACTTTGAGTCACATTCTTTGAAGGCTTTTTCCAGCCGTTGTTTCTCCACCTCACGCTGCTCAAAATCCTCACTGCAAAAAGGAAAGAACAATTTTGCACAGTGAGAAAGGTAGGTAGTTTATGGCTCTGGCTTCTTGTTTCAAACTCACACACTTTGAAATGATCAAGACATACATACATAGATAGCATACATATACATGTATATATACATGCACAAATACATACCAGTACGGACAGGCATACATATACACACCTATATGTACAAGTACGTAAATACATACAGACTCTCATAGTAATAATGATAAATATGTTATTGCATGGAGAAATGTAACTCGGAGTCCTTAGTGGCATTAGTGAAAGCATAAATCAGCACAGTTCCACGGATCACATTATCATGCTTCATGTTATGTATGCTGACTTCAGAGTACCAGTCAAGGACCTGAGAGATTATTTGAGACACAGACAAACCTGGTACTTATGTCTACTCCAGCAAAGGTTCTGGTCACGGAGAGTGGAGGGAGACACCACATAGAAAAACACAAGAAGACACAAAACACAGGGAAGACAAGGAGGGGAGGTGAAGCGAGCACATGTACATACTGCAGTTGTGGTAACAGCATGATATACAGTATTTGCATACGTCATGTATCTATGAGAATGAGCAAACCACAGAAACTACGCTTTTTGGGATGTTTACTCTTTTCTCTCTGTTTTTTTTACAAAACTTGTAACGCTTACATGTACTATGTCATTTTGTAATATTCATGATAATATGGAAACACTGAAGTGGAGGGTTTATTATCAATGTTTCAAACAGACAAGATTAAGACAATTTGAAAACTCCTTCCGAGGATTAATGGTTGGCTGGTGTTAGTATATGTTAGAGACATCTTGCTTCATTGTCACCAGTACCTACCTCAAGAAATGAAGACTCAAGTATCCTTTTTTTATTCATTTGGCATTGACAATCTTTTACACTTGCTAAAATATTATTCATCAATCTTCAATGACATGCATATGTGTCATTAGTTTAAGATGTTGACAACATGTGAGATGTGAGGGATAAATACATGCATCGGTGCTGTTATATAATTCAAGGAATCACATTAAGTTTATTGATTTACTCTCATGTCATGTATATTACAAATGTGATGTTTAACTTTAGGGCTAAATTTCGCTGCATGCTTTTAACAGATTGAATGAATGTTCCTTGTTTTTTGGAGATTATTTACATATGTATACGGTACAATATGGTGAAAGATACTGTTTTATTCACCTTTCCCCTCTCCAGTTAGCATAAGGGAGGGAGCAAATGACAAAGTGCTCAGTGGAGATGGAAAGATGGAAAAACTAATATATAGAACTGAAAAAACTTAATGTCACATCATGTGAAAACAAACAAAACCGTTGAACCTGACATGGCATGGATCAAAACAAAATGCTACATAAGATTTCTGGATATTTTGCCTTTAGACCAATTCTCCGTTAGGTAATTGGCAGTCACTTCTGGGTCATTTCGCCATCAGACGATTTGCCGTTAACCCATAAATTTCACCTTGTGTTTGTATCATAGAATACTCCCTAACCCCAATCCAAACCCAAAAGCTATGAACTAAAACATAATATGGCATGTACATGTTGACAGCGAAATGACCTGGCAAGCTCGACCGCAAATCATCTAACAGCAAACTGGTCTGACAGCAAAATTGTGATACCTGATACCCATAAATAATGTCTGGGTTCAATTTACGGAGATGTGTACATTTTCAGAGATAAGCCAGTACTTTACAGGGAAACTGCAGAATACAGTAGTCAGATTCATGAAACCCAATCTGAGATATTTCCCAGAAAATAAGTTTACATCACTTCTTCCATGGGTCAAGATCACAAATCTTCCATGGGTCAAGATCACAGATCACAATTAACTAATCAACATTGTTGAAGCCACCAACTCCACTGTTATTTGTTGGTGGAGTAAACTATTTCGGATGTGAATGGCAAATAATTTGTATGTCAAAACAAAAATCCGAGCCCGAGCTCCACCCACCTGGCAGACAGCGTCCGGATAACGGACATCAGCAGCCCGGTCTGAGAAAAAAAATACAAACAGAACACGTCAGAACATTCCTACTTTACATTCATCACAATTAATAAGTCAGAAATTTCCCAAATAACTTCAAATTATCGAAAATTTACCTCGCTTTGCTGCTTGGCAGCTCTTGGTCTTGCTACGGCAGCCATCTTGGTAGAGTACACTTGCAGACGGGGGTGTTGATAGCCGGAACTCTTCTGTTCGAACAAATTAACAATCGATGGATCTAATCAATGATCATAAAAACAACATATTACGCAATTTCTCTCATCTTTTTAATTTCTTGTTCAACGGATTGGATGTTACTCGTAGTTAATGGCAGCACTACCGGATCGAAAATTCTACTGTACCCTTCTTTTGATACAGTGGAATCGTCTCATCGAATGGCATACTGGGACAGAAAGAGAAATCTGAACTTTCCTTCCCATCATTCAGTAGCCATGGCGGAGAAAGTGAACGTGGTGGTGAAGTGGGGCGGCACGGAGTACCCGGTCACTGACCTGGAGGGCAGCGACACCGTCTTAGATCTGAAGGAGAGAATTAAGCAGCAGACGGGGGTGTTACCTGGCCGGCAGAAACTCCTGGGGCTGAAACTGAAAGGTGGGAATGGGGAGTGGGAGGGGGGCATATAAATTTTATTATGGCCATAAAATGAATGATGTTTTCGTCTACTCTCGATCTACAAGCAGAGATTTGGGACTTTGGGTGAAAATAAAATCCCAGTGTAAAAAAAGAAACTCCGATAAAAAAATCCTAAAAGCACGCCAAAAATAACCCAAAACCCCAGCCTCTGCTTGGAGAGTACAAGTTTTTGTCATCATTGTGGTTGGTTGGTTGGTTGGTTGGTTGCTTGGTTGCTTGGTTGCTTGGCATGGTTTTCTTATTTCAGTACATTCATAGATGATATAGCATGAATCCCATCGGGTAAATCATGACTGAGAAGAATTGTGCACTTTTTGCCCACAGGTAAACCCCCTGATGATGACATCCAGTTGTCTCTGCTGAAGATCAAACCTGGAACCAAGATCATGATGATGGGAACTCGAGAAGAAAACCTGGTATGCCTCTTGTTTCTTTACTTTCTTCTTCTTGGCACAGTATTGTTTTTGGGTAGCTGATGAGTCATGGGGGTGTCTCTCAAATTCCTTTGGTTGCATGGTGGGTGGGAGGTGATTTTCTGACAGTTGATTGAATGATAGGGCAGCACTTGCCTTGAGGAAGTGGTGTTCACCTCCACAGTCTTTAAACAGGTCATGAAAACCCCAAATACTTTCCAGGAGTCTATAATCTCTGATTTTTTTCTTGTTTCCTTGCTATCTATTTCATATCTATAAATGACACAATATACATGTATGTACAATATATCATTACACCAACCTGAAGTATGTGGATCTGTAAGTATGCTGATGCTCACTAAAATCATGTTTTGATGTGACACATAGGAGGAATTTCTGAAGCCCCCTGAGGATGTGGGTGATGATGTCATCAACGACTTTGACATTGAAGAGGAGGAGGTGCTTGTAGAGAATAGGTAAGATTAATCAGGGGATTTCCTAGATACTTGATTTGATGATAATCTACAGTGAGTGTCACTGGAAGACAGACGAAAAAAATGTCCAGACTATGCATGATGTACAAAATGACTAAAGAACTGGTGGACGTACCAACTACTTCAACTTATATCCATTTCAGAAAATTTTGTGCATAATGCAGAAGGGCGGTTATATACTGACAATACAGATACAGATGTATTTCAACTATTGAATATGACTAGATACTTTGCATTATAACACTTCATTGTTCAAATACATGTGTCCTTTCTAGGGAGGAGAATCTTGCCAAGATCGCCCGACGAGTCAAAGACTACGAAGTGAAAATCCTGAACCCTTCCCGACCTGGGAAAAAGCTCCTAGTACTGGATGTGGACTATACCATATTTGGTAAGGACGACCTCGCCTAATACTAATAGAAATATAATAGCCAGCAACCTTCACACTTACATGTAACATCATTATGAGGAACATAAGGATGTTTCACTTGCCCAAATACTTGGCTGTGGTTTCATTGTGATTTTTACCAACACAGACAAACTTTCAGGTTGATTGTCACATTTTCACATTTTCACATGTCTCTATCATGCCAGCAAAGTTTTTTTACAGATTCAGTACAGAATTTCTGATATCTTTCCAGACCACCGATCTGTTGGGCAGAATGCGCTGGAGCTGATGAGACCGTACTTACACGAGTTCCTCACACAGAGCTATGAGCACTACGATATCGTCATATGGTGTAAGTATAATAGCCTGGTACATATGTGATGGTTTAAGTGATTTGCTCCTACATAGCATGAGGTGAACATCTGCATTAATGAAAGAAAGTTTATGGACTGAATCTCATTTGAAGTCATAGCTAGTATGTATGGATGCAATATCATGTCTGTAATGTTATGTTGTAAATGTGATGTTTTGGGGCTACATGTCACTGCATGCCTGTAACAGAATGTTTCTCATCCTTGTAGCTGCTACAAGCATGAAGTGGATAGAGGCCAAAATGAAGGTATTCTCAGACTGATATACCCCAATATTAATTTGTGTTTATATTCATGTTGATACTATACTGGCCATGTGTGGTGAATAAGTGCATAGAGTCTGCATGTCGACCACGATCATGATTAAGAACCCATCACTTTTTGTATTTTGGTATAACTTAAGAAATAATGTGTTTTGCTATGTGTCAAAGTTCCCCTTTTCCAATTTAGATTTAGACATGGAGTTAAAATCAAATCCTCCTTGATTTAGATAAGAAAAAGATTGTTCATTAATGTTGTTGATATAACCCCCTCCCCAGGAGCTAGGCATGGCGGACCATCCTAACTACAAGATCATGTTCCTCCTGGACTCTTCAGCCATGATCACTGTACACACGCCCAAATATGGTGTTGTTGAGGTAACACATTAGTGAATGTCACTATCATTATTACTTAAAAACTAAAGGTAAAGGTAGTCTCAGCCTTTTTCAGGCTGTAGGGGCAGTGTTGTGTTGATCCAGTGTGTTTAGGGCATGGTACTGGAAGATGACGACTACCCCTCTCCTTCCACTATCTTTTCCTCCCCATCCAAAGTCAGGTACCCATTTTACACTTGAGTGGAGTAAGGAAAGTGGTGAAAAGTGACTTTTTCACGGACACAACATCTTGCCCGTGAAAACCAATCTTGTGTCCGCTAGCCTAAGTACTAAATTATTCAACACCACTTACTTTATGCCTATCATAATTACTTTTTGGCCCTTTTGACAAACTAAAGGCTAAATGCCCTGACTTTGAAAGGTGGTTTGATCAAAATATCTTTGAACACCGTTACAGTCAACTTACAGTATGACTTTTGTCATTTCTTCTGCCCTTGCAGTGCAAGCCCCTAGCTGTGATCTGGGGCAAGTTTGACCAGTACAGCAGTAAGACCACCATCATGTTTGACGATATCAGGAGAAACTTCCTCATGAACCCTCAGAACGGACTCAGGGTAAGAAAATATTTTTTTGTGCTCAGGGCTGAGGACCAGATATTACCGTTTTTGTTTTGTCATAATGATTCACAACCAGTTCATTTCCATCCCATCATTAACAAATCATGCCATAGTTTCAGTCATGGAAAACTAGTCAGTAATGCTGCTGTGTTGCGACAAAGGGCTGTGATATTATAAGCCATGCAGACTCTATCTTGATTGATAAAAATCCTTGATTTGGAACACTCTCAACATTAATTATTTTCATCCTTTTAGGTAAGGCCTCCCCACATGAAAAACATTACCATGCAAATTTTCAGTTGGCTCCTTAACCAATAAGTAAACATCTTGGCGGCACCATCTTCTTCTTTGGCACAAAAAAACGGTATACATGTACTTTGAACAAAGTTCTCCAAGGTCTGCCTGTAAGTTGTGCCTTTTCCCTTTCCTTCCCAGGTGCGACCGTTCCGAGAAGCTCACCTGAACAGACACAAGGACAGGGAGCTGAAGAGACTCGGGCGGTACCTCAGGGACATCGCACCGCTGGACGACTTCAGTCAGCTCAACCACAGACACTGGGAGAGGTGGGGCTGTGTTGTTGGCCTGGAATCTATTCTATTCTAGCTTGTTTCACTCCTCTGTTTGGTTTTGGCTTCAGTGCTCATAAAAATGTTTCATCCTTATGGTATGTCCTGCCTACTAGTAATTTCTGGAATCAAATGTTTCTCAGAAGCAGTGTAATGGGCCCAAATGCCTGACAAACTCCATTACCATTGCCATTATGATGACTGTGTAACTCACAATCCATTATTGTCTTGTTGTTGTTACATGTGTAAGAATCTTGTAATTTCTGTTGAAGTGTGAAGCTCTCTCATAGTATAATTTGTTGTTTGTTTATTTCAGGTACAGACCCAGAAAACACAGGAAAAAATCCAGTGACAACGAAGATCAGGAAAACAATGATGATGAGGACAGATCAAGACATCAAACCCAGGAGGAATCAGGGAAATAATGCCTGGAAGCTTTACTGGACACACAGTGTCTACAAGACAAGACCTGGTGATCCACACATGTATTCTTCTCTACCATAGTACGAAGTAAAGCCCCACAAGCCAGGTTTTATGGACCCATGGTAAATTTTACCTGGTGAGAATTAAGACGAAAGAAGCTTACATATCATACGCTTCTCTAGAAGAGATGAATTTAAAGAATTTGGAATGGGATCTTTTGCATCAGTGTGAAGAAACTCTACTTAATTGCTAAACTGCTAAATGAACATGTTGCACAAGTGTCACTTGTATGATGTTGTAACAAGTAACATGTAAACTATACTGTACTCCTGAATATCAAATCTTCAGGAAGGTTACCATAGTACTAGTAGTTTACTCAGCTTCTGTCCTACCCCCTAGTCATTCAAGTCTATACATTGTACATGATGTAGTAAAGAACATAACTGTTATATATGTGGAAGACATGCCACAGCAGTACAGCAGTATTTTATGATGCAGTTTAGTTTATGGGACCAATGGTACAACTTGTATCTTATATTAAGTGTTTTGCAGTCAAAGATGCACAGACATAAATATTTACTGCACATAGAAGGGGGGACCAGGAAGGATATTAGATGGTTGTGGAAAATGTTAGCGTAACATATATTCCTTTGACTTTGTCCAAACTAAATAGTTTGTTTCAAACTTTGTTCCAAATGTTTATTTTCACAATTCAATGTGCAGATTTTCTTTGAGATTTCTTCTGGTGCAGATTTCTTTCTGATCCATCACAGAAATGCCTCCTTCTTTGTGACAAAGATATAGATAACTACAATATCTCTGCCCCAAAAGGAGGCCTGCTGAATTGTGTTGTTGAAGAAATGGTCTTGGATGGCAGTCCCAACAATGTTCCGACTTGGAACAGAAAGTATGTATTAAACTGCAAGGCAGATACTACTGACAACTGTGTGCGTGTTGTTTTAATGTCTGACTCAATTTATTGCACTATTATCATTTGTAATCTATGGATAGTTGTCCTCCGGCTGGTGGCAGGCATCAGTGGTGTAAGGAATGCAGTTGAAGTGTTTACAGACAGGGCAGAAGTCACCCTGGACGTAATAAAACATCATAAGCAGCACGGAATACATCAGGACAATCATGACGAAACCGAACACCACCAGACACCTCTTCCTGCGGGCGTCCCACCTCCCCAGCACGATGTATGGCAGAAACACGAGCGCCGACAGCAGACCGAACACAACCCCCCCGAGCTGGGCCCAGTTGTCCACCAGGGGCAGGGTTCCCGCCGTGAACAGGACCGCAAGAACCGTCAGGAGGGTCAGCAGCTTGCACAGCGCCCTGGGGACGAGTCTCCAGGCCTGCAGCAGTTCCACGCAGGCGCAGCCCAGGAGCCCGCACGCCGCGGCGGACCCGCCCATCTGCGGGCTGTAGGGGGAGAACACTGCTCCTGTCTGAGGGAGAACAAAAAATGAAAAATAAATATATAAATGGCCACTGATGCTTCCTTTCCTTACAAAAATGTATTGGAGAGGCAGTTTAAGCCACCAAGAGTCTATTCGTTGTACTCAGGAGGTGTTGATATTCCTTGCAGATGGCTTCACACTTCACGTTCTCCTTGGTGCTGAAATGCCATCCATTGGTTATAGCAGATTTCTGCAAGAGTTATGTCAGGAATAGTTGCCCTTTTCTTAAAATAAGCTTTATTCTCATTCTAAAACAGGCACAAATCAACACACGAGGGGATCGATGGCAGCAATAACATGAAAATTTCATGGCCTTGTGGAACGCACCATGTTCCCGCCGGCCCCGCAGATGAGGTAGACGATGGCGAGGCGGACCCCGCCCACCATGCGCTCTATGCGCACTCCCACAATGCACTGCACGGCCACCACCAGGATCAGGTGGATCAGCCCGGCGTGTAACCATGGCGACAGCAGCCAGCGCCACCACTGATTGGTCAGGGCGGACGGGCGCGGTTTGTACGGCTGGGCTGAGTCCGACGATAGGTCACCGGGACCGCAGGTCTCAGCTAGACAATTTACCTGGGCAGAATACAGAACACAGTGTCATCACATAACGGCCATATTTTTGTCTTATCCTTCTGCTGTGAACCCCAAGGATGATACACGTTGATGTCATCTTTTCCCATCTTACATGCGATATTTCTCGCTTTCGTTTTGTGGAAAACGTCTCCAAAAATGTACGTATACTTGCGGATGCTATCCCTAGAATCAAGCTTGAGTGACGTTAACGTTACTAGATCTATAATTGTATACCTATAGGTTTAGGAAAGGCCGATCCAAAATTACATCCTTGATAATGCTAAGGCCACGATTCCCAGCCCGGGGTCCGGACAGGCAGTTTTTAGGAACCAAAGTATGATATGAAAGACGTATAATATGAATTGTTTATTTTGCGTTAACGCAAACAACCCGGCTGAGCCCGGGTTTGGAAATTTGACTTAAGCATTACCTTGCTGCAGTGCTCCTCTCCGTACTGACTGAACACGCCGTTCACAAACGTGCAGTGCTGCAGGGTGGTGAGCTTACATTTCCCCATAATGCCGTAGCAGCAGGGTCTCATGATGTGCGCGGCGGTGGCGCTCTCTCCTGCCAGCCGCGACCCGCACGGGGTGGCGCGCCAGCTTCCTGTGCCTGGAACAAACAGAGACCAGTACCTTCGGCAACTAGTCTCTACGAGACTCCTTTGCAGGCTGAATAAATAGTAGAAATCAGCAAAGGAGGAAATCATTGGCCAGAGGAGTTGGCCGGCCATAGAGGGTCCAGCTTGCCTGCCTTTGCTGATTTCTACTATTTATTCAGCCTGCAAAGGAGTCTCGTAGAGACTATTCGGCAACGTGCATAGAAATGGTAATGTATTTATCTACAATGTGCCCACTGGTGTCTCATTGCCGTACGTTTAGTGTATGTCTAAGACGAGATGTACGTCTTACAAGACTGTTCAAAGCCAAAGTTTAAGAGATCATATTGTTTGTTCAATTTGTACAATTGATGCCCGATGTCTACCGATGATTGCACGTAACAAGGCAAGAACAGGGAGAGATGGTAGCCTCCTATGCAGACTTTCTGGGTGGCCATAAAAGAATCGCCGTATGAACGTACAGTATCTGAATTCTTTGAAGCAGTGGTAAAGAACTAGATATTCCACACCACACATGGAACGTGATATGGAGGACAGAGACCATACCGCCTGTGAGAGTGTCGCACTCGGCCTGAGTGGTGGTCCCGGCCAGGTCACGTGCCGGCAGCTCGCAGCAGCCCAGCGGGACGGACAGGTCAAACTGCGCCTGCGCCAGGTACAGGTTAGTGACGTAGTCATCGCGCATGCACGGCGCGAACGTCGCACCCTGACCTGCAGAAAGAATGTGTGGACGGAACAACAATGAAATTAGCTACTAACTTTTAAATTATTATTCTGTCTAGCTACTAATATTTCGTAGTAAGGTTTATATATGTGTTTCACCCATACACAGTTTGCTTTATGAATATCGTGCTCTTTTCTTCCAGACACCCCAGGTACAAAGTCATACGTCCCACAAGACATCTCACTGCCCTATTTCTATTTTTTACCATCCAAACATCCAGACAGCCCTGCATTTGTTGCTTTCTCAACTGAGCCGTTTGGATTTTGGACCGTACCGAAATAAATTCTTTTCACTCTGTTGTATGTTCCCCCAATGATCGTTGCACGACTCACTTATCCAGTATCTCATGGTGGGTCCGATCCACAGGTTGGGTGTTGTGACCCGCTGGACGCTCTCCCTCCCCATGAAGGTGTGGATGTTGTTGGCCGTCACGACGGTGTGCTCCAGGGCGATGTCAGCGACTCCTCCTACACAGAATTATAGTAAGGGCGTAAGGAATTAAAAACGAAGTCACTTGGTATTCTACGTACCTAATCATCATCGCTTAGTCAACATTGATTGTGATGTACATATGTGTTTTTTATAATTGTATGCATGCTTGGATGTGAAGCATTGACAATAGATTTGATTTTACCTTCCAAATGTTACATATAGAAAGAACATCTATTGATCTAATGACTCATGTGTCCAAAGCATTTAATTTTAAAAACGAACAAGGTCCTATTGTTACAAAGCAACGGCATTGGTTAGGATACGTCTTGTGGCTAGGTCGCCACATAGAAAGCCGCAATCGCGGTATACAAATCGGGATCCACATTGCCTAATTCATGTTTATCATACCTATAGAAATACCTGTCACTAACGCAGCACTACCAAGCCGCCCTACCTAAGGCACAGAATGTCCCGAAGACGATAATCTGTGCGATGCTGATGATGAGAATGACTATAGGACTGTACACAGGGAGGGCGTCCATCTGTGCGCGCACGTAAGGGTGGTCCCGCCGCGGGATCATCAACTTGTCGTCTGCTGTCTCCTCAAACAGCGCCGTCTCCGCTTCAGACAACGTCTTCCCGTACTTCTCTGCGGGAGATGTAGGTGATTGTGCTGTCGTGTTTACATTGTCGTTAACTCCAACATAGATATGTAGATCTGATATGTAAATACATAAATAAACCTGCAAGTTTTTTGGTACGGTGAATTCGATACTGAGTGATGCATGTTTGTAGACGAACGTTTCTAGTGACACTGCATTTCACTTGCGCAATGTGATAACCGTTTAAACGTCATTTGTTTTTGCTTTTGTTGAACTTCGGAATTTCGTACTACTGCAGTTTCATCTATAGTGCAGGGTCACAAATTAATGGAAACTATGTAACTGACTCTTTGTTATTTAGAGAGAACAGTTAGTGCTATTAGCTTGAAACCAAAATGTGATCACGCACCCTGTGCCTCCTTTAGAGCAGATCTGATGGACTCTTTTCTGTTCAGCAGGGTCATTCTCAGCGCTTCCTTAGATCCAATATCATGGAACTGTTGCCCGTTTTCCTGCGTCGTTTTTAAGAAGAAAGGGTTATGAGTTAGTGTGAATACAGAGTTGCTCCTACATTAAAATTACTAGTAAGGAAAGGAAAACTTATGTTTCGAATTGTTTCCTTTGGGTCACCATATACTGCCCGCCAATTACTCTTGCATGTACTACATGAGTCTGGTAAAGAACATACAACTAACCAGTCAAGACAAACAATGGCTCGTTATAGCAACACTAGTATCAATCATGTTTTTGTTCAGTAGCAAATCAGTACATGTAGTTTCTAACATTAATCAACTAATCACGCTTTCAGTTCTCACCTCTTTGAGTGGTCTGTAGTGTTTCAGTCCCGTCCGACCTGCAGTCATCCCTTCGCCACTGACCCGTCTGTCTGGCGGTCCTTCCTCCACTCCCCCTGCAGCTTCAGGAGACTCACGATGTCCGAAACTCCCAGAAGGCTCGTCATCAGACGACAGATCAAGGGATTCCAGATTTCTGGACAAATGACTGTCGGTGGAACAAGGCCAAGAGATGGACGACGCCAGGCTAGAGGATGACGACGAAGGTGAGTGCAGGAAGGACGACGGTGATTGCCAATCTGACGGCAGTCTCGGTAAGGGTCTCCCCGAAGATGACTTTGTGTGCGATGCTGCTTCTTCTGGTGACCCCCGCGCTTCTAGTGATGTTGTAGGTTGCACACCTAGCTGTGGAAGAGGTCTGGACGCTCCGAGCCTTTTCTTCGGACTGCCCTTGAGGATAGATTTGCTCGGAGATTTCTTCAGACGCTTCACGATTCGTCTGATGTATTTCCGATGCCGAGATTCTGATACAGATTCTGGCAATGGATGCTGATCATCCGCCTCGGGAGAGGCACTCATTGAGACTGGCGATTCCTCTTCTGAAGAACGGGGACTCAGATCTGGGGGCCGGGTATATCATCGATAAAGTGCATGTGTTATGAGCATAATAATATTCAAACAAACACAGGAGCAGGTATCTACCGAAACATATCTAGATACTAATATACAGAGGTACATGTCGAACGTTTCCGCTGTCAAATTTTCAATCGTTAAATTGTTACCTGCATGCTTCTTAGCTAAATCCATAATGACTGAAAGATCGCTTGTTACGTTTTGAAAAAATGGCATTTCAACTATGATTTCATACTCACCACGCGTAGGGACAAACTCGGTGACGGATACTTCCCCAGAGAAACAGACGGCAGACCTTTTTTGCTCGGGCGCGGAAGGAGAAGATGGCCGAAGCGGTCTCCGACCCGGACTTATGATGTCTGTGGACCTCCTCAATGACTGTTGCTGCCGTGTGAATGAGGAGACGCCGAGCTCCGTGGACTCTTTTAGAGGCAGTTTGTAAGCCCCCGTATAGAGTGAGTAGAAAGGAGAGGTGCGAGAACCATCGAGTATACGGGGCTTGGCGTGAAGCATGGACAGAGACCGTGAGGCAGAACGTCCGTACTCGCCTGACGTGTCTTCGCGTTTGGTTGCTTTCCTTGGTACTGAACCGTCGCCCAATCGACGGGGCACAAACAGTGCATCAGGTGAGAATTTTGTCTCAGGGACGAGGTGGTGGTCTTTAACGGTAGGAGTATAAAATGCCCTGTCATGTGTGCTCTCTCCGTCTGCTGGACATACTTGTATAAGGATCCTCCTGTCGTCTGCCAAATGTTGTCCGTCATCAATGTGCTCACCATGTGCGCTCACTGTTCCCGCCAAATTTGACGAGGAACGATCCGGTCTCTCTTGTCTCTCGCCTGTCAGCTCTGGTGACGTGAACAGCGCCTTTCCGAAGTCGGGACTTTCGTTTTGCAAGTCTAGATCTGCACCTTGTGACCCGAACTCTGGTCTGTTGTCTTCGAACAGCACCTTTTCTAGTCTGGTCAGAGCTGGATCCTCCGAGTCTTTTCTGGAAACCAAGTCGTCTAGACTGAAGCCGATGCTGCCTCTCTGTGTGAGAGATTTCAAATTAGATCAAGAAATCTCCGAGTAGATGGGGGACGATGGTAACATTTTATACTTCCCTGTACAATAACAACTAGATAGAAATGCCACAACAAAAGTGCAGACTGCCTTTAAAACAGCATACTTAGCAGTTTTGTCCTTATAGATATCTGCTCGTATAAAAGTCGTACATGTACATGTACGCCAAGGCCTAAAATCCGTGGTTAGCTTTGTGACCTGCTCAAACTAGTAAACAAACAAGCAAAGCAGACAAACAAATAAATAAACAAACAAACAAATACTTGTGGAAAATATTATGACTATCTTGCCAGAGAACTTCTAGAACACAATCTTCGTAAAGTAACAGTAAAGGCGTTATGACAGTGCCTACCGAAGCAGACCGGCGCAGTCTCTCCTTCCACTCGTCCAGACGACCCTCCTCTGTAACGGCCAGGTACCCGCCTATGTCCGACAGGACGCTGCGGGCCTTGTGGAGGGAGTTCTGGCTCCATGTCCGGAGAGCTGCGACGCTCCTGCTGCCCCGCCGTCCTCTTTCCCTTCGGTCTGCAGTCGGGTTCATGTTCCCTCACTTTAGAAAGTGCGTCAATGTTTATGGTGAAGTGACGTCATAATCTACGTGTCATAATCCATGTGGACAATAAGCTATTGTCCGAGGCGATTTTTCAAATTGATATGTTTGTAATTGGACCCAATAAGTTTGGAAACGGCTTCCTGTATTGAAAACGCCCAACACACTCAGTATATTTCACGGTAGAATCCTGTTCGAATGTTTTGAAACGCATGGTTCTAAGGAACCTCAAATGGAATAACGGAATATGTCACAATCGGCATAAGAATATTGCTGGGATATCTGTGGTCATTGTTTATGAATAATGATATTCCAAATTTGAGTTGATTTTACAATCTACCCCACATTATTTTCGTTTGGTATAATCCAGTCTGATTGCGCAATAACTGTCTCTACGCGAAAGGCATTGTGGGTAATTTCCTCGTTTTGAAATGAGACGGCATCAAAGCGCAAATGTTGGTAACGGTTTCGTATTGAAATATTGCATCAAAAATAAAGAAAAAGGTAGTATTTCTTCCATCAAAATTTTACAATGATTTCTTTCCATGCTTCAATGGAATAGTATATTTGGTATCTTGTGCTTATGTATTAGAAATCAAATGTAGGGACATTTTACCTTTGCGCGCATTCCAATGAAAGGACAGAAAATGGCAGAGGTCGCTTGTTGTTTTTGAGGTGTTGTCTGTTTGACAGAATTTTAACTGCGTAATCTGACGAATTTCCATTTATTTCGCTCTGTGTACCAACGACAGGTCCTCCCGTTGACCAGCAGGTAGGTTTTGAATGGATATTTGTGCAAAATGAGGTGAATTTGTCAGAATTAAAAAGCCTTTGTTGTTGTGAGAAACCCCATCATCAGAAAAGAGATTTTTCGCGCCATCAGCGATCTTATATGGCCTATCTTTACAGGAATGTCACAACTTTGATGAAGTGTATGAATTACACAGTAACTGTAATTGTAATTTCTGCTGCAATATTTCTTTGTGGTTTGGAAATTGTAGAACATATAAATGAAGGTGAAGTAGCACTTCCTTCAAGTTTAAATAGACTGACTGACAGCACCAAAATAATATAATTTATTCAAAAGGTACAAATCAGTATCAGCAGTATGTGGAGATTGTGAATAATCATGATTTGTTTTTATCTCCAGAATCGAAGTTCTCCAAGAGTGCAGAAGGGAATGAGCTTGGTAAGTATAATTTGCCAAGAAATATTTGTGCAAGACTGTAAGCAAGCATATTTAAATCATTTCTGCAGAGCTCTTTCCAGGTCATGATTATGCAACATAATTCAGGTGAATATAATATTGGGTATTTGAATTTTTGATAAGACCAAGTGGGTAATTTTGAACAGTGGTCATCTTCAAACTATGTCACAAAGTGGGGATTTAGAATAAGCAAACTGTCATATCTATTTTCTCTCAGTTACGTACAGTAAGAACTTCAACCAGATCTCTGCATGTGTTTATGATTACACAAAAAAATTGGAATATTTTGTGAACATCTTGTAGTTGAGTATCTCCCTAACTACCTGTATTACTATTAGGACATGTGTTTTAAATACAGTTAGCAGCCATTTGAATTTTTTTGTCTTTACTTTCCTTACTTCTGTAGAGACGTCGTTCCTTGCGACTACGTAGTGGTTTGCGAGAAGAGAGAAGAAGGATGCCCCGTATGCGGCGGACACGTGGCGTAGGGAGAGGTGTGGGCTCTCAACAGGAGCCTATTGATGTGGAAGATGGTAGGAAAACCAGGCAACTTGGATCATGATCTGTAGAAGCCAATCATGGCCAGCACATCGACATTTTTGCCATCGATTATGAATTACGTTAAATTCTCAGAGCTGATTACGACTTTACACTCTGCAACTTATTTACTATTTTGAATTACGTTGACTTTTGGGGAGGCTGCTTACGGATGTCGAAGTCTAAAAAGGCCTGATTACGCCTTATAAAAAAGGGCATGCAGGCCCCCAAACATGTGTACAAGGTGCATGTTGTCACTTTTTTTTTTCATTCCCCCCTTCTGTAGCTCCAGCCATAGTGGACCTGACCAGTGACCACCATGATGCTGACGATGATGTTGTGGTGTGTCAGGCTGATGATGAGGTGGTGGACCTAACGAGTCCTCACCACGCCCAGCCCAACAACTCCATGCTGCCAGTCTACCTGAACGGCCGTCGACACCCACAGCAGCGCAACTTAGACGCTGAAGTGTTAGTTAGCGATGACGAGGTTACGATAGAGTCTGAGCGACTCCCCGCTCCCAGGCTCCTGGACTTGTTTCGAGACGAGGATCCCGGGCCGTCCACGAGTGCTAGTTCCCCACCAAAGACAATCTCCTGTCCCGTGTGCCTAGACGATGCGAAACAGATCTCCGTTACAGGCCGAAGGCTGATGTCAACGGTGTGTGGACACGTTTTCTGCGAAACCTGCTTGAAGGAAGCCTTGCAGACACAGAAGAAATGTCCCAACTGTAGGAAGAAGTTAACTGTAAAACAAATCCACCCTATCTTCATATAAAAAACCTACATATGTATAGCTTCCCTACTACTCCAATGTAAATAAAAACCAAGTTTTTGTTTCAACGCAAGGATGTTCCCAAGTTTCTATGGGTGTCCATCCAGTCTTTTCACACGCGAAACAACAGCAGTCAGACTGTGGATTTTTGTTGTAACCCAACCAAGTGATGGTTTCTCCACCCAACTTCATGGTGTAGGGGACTGGGAACGTTCCTTGGTTTGACACAACACTTCATTTCAGCAGTGCTGTTAGGTGCACATTGCAACGATATCAGGCTATTCTTGGGATCTTTTTTTTCTCCTTATATAAGATCACCCCAATTTTTTTCTGGTGGATGGATCAACAATTAGGATTATGTTGAACTGTGTATTAATGATGATATTGCTTATGTTGAAATATGTGTATTTATAATCAACTTATACAAGATGCTACAGGAAATAACAAAATACTCTCTCGAGGTTAAGCATTGAATACAGAAATTTTTATGAAAGGAAGCTTCATATCTGTTCACCTTTTGGTTTAATTTGAAAAAGATTGAAGTGTTACAAATAATGGAAGGGGGATGGACTCTCATGCCCCTGAGTTTTAACACGTATGAGGCTACAGCTATGCAAGACATTGTGATCATGTAATAGAAAGCCTGTTCAAGATTGATACAATACAATACAATGGTGTAAATTAACTGCCTCCTCCAAAAAAGAGAAAATTTTCAAGTCACTGCTCAAATGTTTCGAAATATTTTGTAGCTGAAACAGATCTGAACCAAGCAATTGTAGAATATGGAAAAAGTTACAATTTGAAACTTTCATGAATTTTTTTCACATTCAAACTTGCGATGGCTCAACATCTTTGAAGTTGATCTATTGTAGGATACAGTTTCTTTTGTTAACTCTCTTGTTCATTCTGATTAAGATGTTTAAGATTTGGACTGGAAGCCTTGCACTGTTACCAGAGCAGTTCTTCCAGTTCAATATGTTGCTAGTTAGTTAACCCTTTCAAATTCAACTTTGTCAGCAAATGAGCATAGTGAGTGGGCGATACAGATCTCTACAGAAATGTCTAGGAAAATGCATTGAACACTTTACGTAGATGTGCTAGTATATCATATTCTTTATTCCCTGTGCCCTCTGCATGTGAAGTATTGATACACAACATTTACACATGGACATATTAGATTGTGTTTTCTGTTATATTGATTATGCATTATGTGATTCCAGTTCAATAAAGTATATTGTTCAGTTAATTAAAAGACATACCCTACATTTTCTTACCAACACTATCGAGACCGAAGTGCAGTCAGTGACAGACTGTAGTTATGCTTCCAAGATCCAGTGGTTCCAGGTTGCCATAGTGAACTTAAATTTCTAATTTTGCTCAGATGTTGATTAGAACACTAGAAATAGTAATCCAGGAAAGCAGGCCTACACTAAGACAGCATGGTTTCCTCCACATGTGCTACCAGCTGCAGTTGGGAAGAATGCTGCTAGGGGATCCAAACAAATTGCTGCTGCCTTAGGTCAATGCAACTTACATACACCACATATCTCGGAGGAAAAGACCTTGGGACTAATTTTGATTAAACCTTAAAGGGTTTACTGGAACTAAGGGGAGTCTGATAGGGATTACCAACAACACAAGTGAGCTGCGTGACCCATGGTGAGTCAGCAGTACAATGTGGATTACACATGCCAAACTGAATTTTAGTCAACATACGAAAGACCTTTGGTGGTTCCAACATGCAACATAGACAAAGTGGTTACATAACACACTAATGAGGAGTGATATGGCTTAGAATGAATCTTAAGACAGGCAGATGTGTACAATTCAGATTCAGTTACTGTTGAAAGCACAGGAAGTAACCACCCCATTCTCTATCCATCCTGGGAAAAAAATTCCATTTTGATCTATTGTCATCTTATTTCTTGACCATCCCTCCTATGTTGAATGTATTTCAATTATTTCAATTGTTTTACCACACAGTGGCTCACGGATGACAATTATAGCCGACTTTATACCTCCTTTGAACTTGGGATACGTTTCCTGTTTGGAAACGAAACAAGCCTTTATAACATGTCATGTAAATGAACTGATGTCATATCATATCTGAAACCTGCCTCCCCCTCTCCACAAATGTATGCACCCAATCTACGTGCTAGGCATGCCGGGTAAAAGTTGATGTATTCGCCATATTGGATTTTCTGAGTGTCAACTTGGGTCGGGTTTCAAGAAGGATACACACTTTTAACTGTATTTCATACCGAAATCCACCTTCACTGGGATTTCTACTCGAAACCAGATGAGCAGAATGTCCCCGGCAGAGAATAAAAGAGCCAAAAGACGCAGGGCTAAACGCACAGGGACGAAATTGGGCCGACCAACCAGGCCCCTGGCACCGAGGAACACAACTGCTACTGATGAGGTAGGAATGTCGTAACTGTCCATCAACAAAGTTCCGCCCTGCCTTACATTCATCATTTCTCCTCCAGCTTACAGATCGTCTGAGTTTCTGACAGAGGCAGTCTTGATCTTGTATCTGAGGTGGAATTTTGCCCTGTGTAGCTGACTTATTTTGGTGTCACGGAATGCCTGCTTTCATCCACTTTTGTTTGACATCAGGAGGTCGATAAATAAATTGGGCCCAGGCTGAGCCCTGCAGCTGCGAGGGGAACATTTGGTGCCCATCTCCAGTCGTCAACATAGCGGGCTGCTGATGCGGGCTTCCCGTGTGTTGGTTATGGAACTCAGGGTGGAGCAGGGACCAAAATCATCGGGAAGCTAGCTCAGACAGGGGGGAAAGGGAACACGGAATTTTCCGGGCAGGAAATTTCTGGAATGCCAGTAGGGCTGGGTGCCATATGAGCTCTTGACGATACCCAGGAAACGTTTTATCAGTGGAGTGTAAACGACTTCTAATATCTGAGACCTAATTAACAGTCCTAGTAGCAAGTTCACATTGAGGTCAGAATTCTACATCCAAGGCAAAACCTGTCAGGGCCCTCTTGGAAGATGGTTTCGGGTGTTTGGTTGGTCACCATTTCACACAGATAAATGGTTGTGTACACTTGGAGGAGGCTAGCTCCCAGATCCAGTAACAGTGTGTTTGAACTCTGCTATAGGCCCAGGAAACCCTCCCAGCTGTCCCCTGTACCCCGGTGGGTGGGGGTGGGGACTGTAGACACACACAGCTTGCTGATAGCCCTTTTCCCAATGGCGTAAATTTAACCCAGCAGGTCAGTCCATATTATTTGCATGCAGCAAGCATCATCGTCCAATATCAACGAGGGGAGGTGGGAGGGGGCGCAGGAAAGGAGGGGTGCTTCTGTGACATATATCCTCATCCTGTTGACAAACTGACATAATTGTGGTCATGACATCAATTGACGAGAAAGCATAAGTTACAGATATTTTTTAGTAAAAGTGTAAGCCCTTACAGATATTATCTATGTGTAGATAATATTGCTTTTATTGAATATGATGGTGTAGCACCACTGTTCCATCATTCATAATAAAAAACAATATGTCTACATTAATCAGCCAGTGTAACTATCCCTCAGCATAATTAATTAATTTAATACACAGGTTTTGTAGTCACATGGCAGCTGGGTTTATCACATGTACATGTATGTATGTATGTACATGTACAACAACACGTCACACGCTTCTTCATTTCCATAGACAAGTACACTTCCTGAGATCATCATCTAATCATGAAGAGGCCACCATCATATTTCATGATACCAACTTATGAGCTTCCCTCAAGGACAGTAGGCCCATCTTATGTACAGAAAGCTCACTTCTTCTGTCCTTAGTTCAACCATTTTGTGAAAATCCTTCCAAGTGCAGTTCATTTTTGAGGAGTACTTTATTCCAGTGAAGTGTGGTTACGTCTTTGTTTGATTTTCTGAATGTATTTTGGTACAGAAGTCTAATTTCACAGTTGTTATGTCTCTGCTTTACGTCATGTAATCAAATTTACATGTTGTTGGGGTTTTATTTGATTGAATTTGATACCTACCCTAGTTTCATTTGTAAATAGAGGTGGTCACACCAACCGAAACAATCATCAGACAGAACTTAATACCAGTTACCAAAGCACTGCTCAATGTAATTTCAAACAACACACAGTACACGTCCATGTCTAAAGGCTTGGCTATGAGGATATGTTATTGTAGTAGTGTTAGAAGATTATTAGATAAAACGTTACAATATTTTGTGTGACTTTCAAAGTCAATCATGTTAACCTTCGCATGGTTTTAAAATTCAGTTGTCCCAGTAACAAGCTGGCATGGTAGACAGCAGCTCCCTGTGGTACGTGTACATGTAATTTTGCCTGTCCAGTTTTCCCTGCCAATCTCTGCCACCATCAGTCAAGACAGGAATGAATATTAAAATTAGGAAATTACAGTACATGGTATTGTCTCCAATTTTAACAGGATTACTCAGTATCACAGACCCTTATTTGATGCTGGACCTTTTCCACAGACAGACACTTTGTTTCAAAAGGCTAGCATGTAGATGCATTGGAGTGAAAAGTATCCTTTTGACGTCTTCCTAATAAGGGAGTCAGGGAAACAGTAGATTTTCTGTGTGCACCAGTTGTGTGTGTAAAACCTGTCTAGAAGACCAGCTGTTGCCAGATAGCTGAGCTCCCTGGAAGGGCCCAAGGGTAGGGCCCACACATGAAAGCACAACTCTCATCTAGGTAACAAAACAAGTCTATTATGTCCCCTACCAGCAGCTGAAACGCTCTCTCTCCCAGAGAGGGGAAGTGTATATATAATGCGAGGGCTGAAGACGAGGGAAAGCAGCTGAAGGTTATCTACACAAACATTGATTGTATCAACAAATAAAAAACATGAATTCTGCGCTATTATTGATGAACAGCAACCTGACATTATTACCACAACCGAGACGAACCCAAAAACTCAAGATATAAAATGACAAAAGTAGATCTGCATATTCCGGGGTTTAACCTATTTACAAATGCTGATACAGGGGGTGTGAGGGGCGTGTCCATCCACGTGAAAGATGCCTACAACTCTATGGAAGCAGAGAAACTGGGTTCAGCTCAGGGTCATGTCTCAGAAGTGATTTCAGTGGAGATGACGCTGAACAAAAATGACAGACTATTAATTCTGGGGATCTACAGAAGCCCGAACTCATCTGTCGAAAACAATCATAGTCTAAATAGCATCATACGCAATATCCAGGGCTATTCGCACGTATTAATAGCCGGGGATTTTAACTACCCAAAAATCCTATGGGCCAATGGAGACGGCTCAATCTACTCACCTAACTGTGAAGCCGGCAAATTCCTAGAGGCTACTAGGGACGCATACCTATACCAGCATGTGGACTTTGCAACAAGACACCAAATAAACCAGGAAAGCAATGTACTAGACCTGGTCTTCACGAACGAGAAGGGAATGATTGACTCGGTGACAATGTTACCACCAGTAGGAAAAAGTGACCATGCAGTGCTAAGGTGGACTTTCAAATGCTATGCAAAGAAAAGAAATGTGAGAAGAGAAATCTTTCAATACCACAAAGGTTCGTATGAAAACATGAAAGAAGATTTAAATAAGGATTGGAATGAAACACTTCAGGAACTGGATATTGAAGAGAGTTGGGTCGTGTTTTCCAAAACCTTGAAAGATACAGTTCACAAGAATGTACCCAAAGTCAAATCCTCAAATAGAAGGAGAAGGCTATCATGGACCGACAGTCAAACAATAGCGAAAATGAAGAATAAACAGAAAGCTTGGAAAAAGTATACTCAAACTGGAAAGAGGGAAGACTACATTAAATACACAAAAGCACGAAATCAGGCACGATGGGCATCAAGGAAGGCGGCCAAAAGACATGAGAAAGAAGTGGCTATGAACATTAAGGGTAATACCAAATTATTTTGGAAGTACGTAAACAAAAAGTCCAAAACAAGAGACAATATCCCGGACTTAAAGGACGGTGATGAAATTGCCAAGACAGACGAAGAAAAGGCAGAAATACTAAACAACTTCTTTATCAGTACATTTACGAAAGAAAACATGCAAGATATCCCAACACTAGAGCATAAGGACTACAAAGAAGAGCTAACTGACATTGAAACAAGTCCCGAAGAAATTAATAAAAGACTGAAGAAGTTAAATCAAAACAAAGCCATGGGACCAGACAAAATACACCCCAGAGTGCTAAAGGAATTGGCGGATACTTTGTCTCACCCACTGAGCATACTCTTTCAGAAGTCCTTAAGAGAGGGGAAACTCCCAACGGAGTGGAAAACTGGTACCATCTCACCAATATACAAGAAAGGGTGCAAAAAGAACCCCAGTAATTACAGACCGGTATGTTTAACGTCTGTGATTGGGAAACTGTTGGAGGGTATAATCAGGGATGAAATCATAAGGCATATGACAGACAACAACCTCTTCACAAGTCAACAACATGGATTCCTCCCTGGGAGGTCAACAGTCACCCAAATCCTAGAATGCCTGGAAAGCTGGTCAACCTGGATAGATGAAGGTCAACCAGTGGACATAATTTACATGGACTTTCGCAAGGCATTCGACTCGGTCCCGATCAAAAGACTTCTGAACAAAATAGAAAGTTATGGGATCAAAGGAAACCTTCTTAAGTGGATTTCATCCTTTTTACAGAACCGAAAACAGAAAGTATGTATCAATGAAAGCAGCTCTAGATGGGGAGAAGTCTACAGCGGAGTCCCACAGGGCAGTGTTTTAGGTCCGGTCTTGTTTACTATCTACGTGAATGACATGCCAGAAGTGGTAAACTGTTCTCTGAAATTGTTTGCGGACGACACAAAGTTGTTTAGACCAGTACCACAAGTACGTAACTGTGAAGCTCTACAACAAGACTTGTCTAGTCTACAAAAATGGGCCGACAAGTGGCAGCTCAAATTCCACCCTGATAAATGTACGGTCCTGAGGGTTGGTAGTGGCCACCCGAACTTCACTTATAACATGTCCGAAAACAACAACCCCTTACCTATATCCCTGAAGGTTTCCTCAGAAGAGAAAGACCTGGGAATCCTAGTAGACAGAGACTTGGGCTTTGCCAATCATATAACAACTATTGTAAAAAAGCAAACCAAATAATGGGGCTAACATGGAGAACATTTGTACACATGGACTTAGAAATGTTTCTCATTCTTTACAAGACCATTATCCGTCCTCACTTAGAGTACGGAGCCCCCATTTGGTCCCCACATACCTGGAAACTCGCTACAGAACTAGAAAAAGTACAGAAGCGAGCGACAAAGAGAGTACCAGGCCTGCAGGATCTTTCATACACAGAGAGGCTCAAGAAACTAAAACTACCTACCCTGGTCTACAGGAGATTGAGGGGTGACATGATCAACGTTTATAAATACACACACGGGATGTACAATACAGCATGTCT